GGTGACGGCTGAAATCACTCCATCTCTTCTGTATAGTTCCTTTTTGGAGAGGTCCCGTAAGTCACTAGGATCAGGAAGAGCATCTGGTCCTCCACTTTGCTGGTCATGTCCATTTTTTTTTTAAATTTTTCATTTTCTTTAGGCAATTGGGGTTAAGTGACTTGCCCAGGGTCACACAGCTACTCAGTGTCAAGTGTTTGGTCTAAGGCCGGATTTGAACTCAGGTCCTCCTGACTTCAAGGCCAAGTGCTCTATCCACTGCCCCACCTAGCTGCCCCCATGTCCACTTTTGTCTCTGCATTTCCAGCCCTTAGCCCAGTGCCTGGCACACAGATGACATTTAATAAATACTTGGTTTTATTGAATAATGGGGACTTTTCTTTCTCAATGATCGTGGGTTTATTAAACTAAATATGATCTATGTATTTGAAGTCATAATACCTATTCTATCCCACCAATCTATTTTCTTGTTTTAGCTCACAACTGATCATTTTTAAAACTCTTTTATATCATTCATTCAGTGGAAGTCTTGCTTCCTTCTTATTTTTCCATTATTTCCCTTATTGTTTTATTAGTATTATTATTATTTTTTACCCCTTTTTTTGGTAAGGCAATTGGGGTTAAGTGACTTGCCCAGGGTCAGATAGCTAGTATGTGTCTGTGTCTGAGGCCAGATTTGAACTCAGGTCCTCCTGACTCCAAGGCTAGAGCTCTATCCACTGCGCCACCTAGTTGGCTCATGGTTTGTTTTTTTTTCTCATTATTTCCCTTGAAATCTTGGTATTTTTCTCAATCAATTTTATCTAGTTCCACTAGACGTCTCACTAGTATTTAATTTTTATAGTGCCAATTCTATTGATTCATTTAGGCAATTTTCTTTACTATTTTAGCGCAACCTAACCACATAACGAAGCTCTCCCCTTAAGTTCTTCATTCATGGAAGCCTAGTTTTCTAGTTTTCTTCAAGTAGTTTGTGTGTTTTAGTAGGTTAACTAGTAAATATTTAACACATTTATTTATTTGAAATACTAAGAAGTTATTGTGGAGGGATTTTTTTTTTGGAGGGGATTAATTTGTGGGAGTTCTGGAGATGCAAGTGGTAAAATTTGGTGAAGCAGAGGTCTTGGACTAAAGAAGACGTGGGTTCAGATTCTATCTCTGACATACATTAGTTGTATGATCCTGGGCAAGTCATCTAACCTGCCCAGGCAACTAAAATGACAGATTAGAGAAGCTGTCCACCTGCCACTTTGGGGGCAGGAGTCTCCACACCAACGAGATCACAGACCTAGGTTTGCCAATAGTTTATTTGAAAATTCCACATTGGACTTCAGTGTCCCTTGAGCAACAAGATGGTGGATTAGACCTTTTTTCTGATCCCCACAAGCTTTCAAGCCTCCTCCAGATGGAAATTATGCACCAAAGATAAAGCAACTTCAGCTGTTTCCATGGCCTAGGATACCCAGCATACAAAATAAGCTACAAAACGAAACGAAACCAACCCCTCAAAACCCAGGCACTGATGCTCATTGACCCTGACTTCACTCTCACCTTTTCCCCATCTCTCACACTATCAGAAGCGCAGCCACACTGGGAGACCCCAGGTCACAGCGCAGACTTACATCAAAACCCATCGCCACCCTTTGAGCCAGCGACAGCACTTCTAGGGCTATATCCCAAAGAGATCACACAAACGGGAAAAGGACCCACATGTACAAAAATATTTACAGCAGCTCTTTTTGTGGTGGCAAAGAATTGGAAATTGAGAGGATGCCCATCCGCTGGGGAATGGCTGAGCAAGTTGTGGTATACGAATGTGATGGAATACTAAGAAATGATGAACAGACTGACTTCAGAAAAACCTGGAAAGACTTGTATGGTCTGATGCTGAGTGAAGTGAGCAGAACCAAGAGAACGTTGTACACAATAACAGCCACGTTGTGTGATGACTAATAGTGAGAGACTTAACCCTTCCCGGCAATACAAGGATCTAAGACATCTCCAAAGGCCTAGTGATGGAAAATACTGTCCGCATCCAGAGAAAGAGCTCTGGAGTTTGAATGCAGATCGAAGCAGACTATTTGCTATTTTTTTTCTTCTGTTGAGTTTTGTTTCCTCTTTCTGGTGGTTCCTCCTATTGGTTCTAATTCTTCCTTACAACATGACTAATGTGAACATATATTTAATAGGAATGTATATGTAGAGCCTCTATCAGATTGTGCGCTGTCTTGGGGAGGGTGGTGGGGAGGAAGGGGGAGAAAAATTTACAACTCAAAAGCATATGGAAGTGATTATTGATAAATCAAAAAATTAATTAAAAAAAACCCATCACTATACTCCATCCAGTTCTTCTCCTTTCCCCTTCCATAGTTTCTGTAGTTTGCCAAGCTCTGAACAGCCAGAGTCAGGGTCCAACCAAAAGAACGCAGGAACAGAGCAGCTGGGGCAGGTCATCAGGACAGGACACTGTGCATGTGGAGAGCTAAGCCCTAGGAAAGAGCCCAGTATCCAGCGGGGGTCAGTTGTGGCCCCAAAATCAGCTGGAACAGAGACTGAGGCTGGTGCACTGTGCGGATGGAGGCCCAGGTAAGGTTGTGCTACCTGTTTGTAGGGGATCCCATCAGAAGAGCTGAAGCACATAGGAGATGCCCAGCTGGGTCCCTCAGCATCCACACAGGCTGCCATGTTTCCTTTCCCACCTCTGAAATCTTGATGAGAATGGGCCATATGAGAATTGATCATCCTCTTCTGGTCCTCTCTCCGTCTGGGTTTTTGGAATGACGTTCTTTCCTGGTCCTCTCCCTGTTTCTTTGACCCTGTCACCTCCTGCATGCCATGCCCGTCACCCTGGACTAGACTTATCAGAGGTTCCACCCTTACAAGGCCCTTCCATCAGCTCTCCACGGGCGATCCTCTGTTCTGCCCCAGTCTCTCCAAACAGTGTTCAGCGTGTCCAACGGGGCTGTTCTTCCCCTCCAAAGGCGCCCCTCTCCCTAACTTCCCAGTCACTGGCGAGGGCACCATCACTGCCCCAGGCGCCTCGGCTCCTGACTCTCTCACCCCCATCCCCCCAGATCCAACCGGCGATGCTGCACCTTGTCATTTCTCCCTTTGTGGACACGCCCCCGTCTCTCCGGAGTGACCATGGTGCAGACCCCTCCCTGCCCTCTTCGAGGACCACCAGAGTTGTGTGCGGGCGTGGGGTCCTGCCTGCCCTGGCCATTCTCCGCTCACCTGTCAGACCAACATCCCCACGAACAACTACAGCGGCTCCCTCTCGCCTCCAGGCTCAATGACATGAATCTGCAGAACCCTAACCCTCCTCCCCTTCTAGGCTTCTTACAGGTCACCCTTCCCCCTGCCCATGACACTCGGCTCCTAACCCTGTGCCTTTTCCCTGGCGGGCCCCAAAAAGGCCAGGGTGCTCCTTGTCTCCACTTCCAGGCCCCACCTTCTGCCGGCCTTTCCCGGTCCCGCTGCCTCTGTCCTCTGCGCTGGTGCCTTTCCTCCGAGACCACTGCCTCCAATTTGCCCTGTGCCTCTTCAGGGTGGGCAGAGCTGTTTGCATGCTGTCTCCCACATTAGCTGGGGAGATCGAGGACAAGGACTGTCTTTTGCCTCCCTTTGCTTTCCCAGGGCTCAGCACAGTGCCTGACACATAGTAGGCACTTTCCAAAATGTGTGTTTTCTTCCCTTCCCCTTTCACAGATGGCTTTCTACCTCAGACTGCAGACGGTTCCGTGATTGGTCTCAGAGGCGAAGAAAACCCACCCAAAGCTACCATCACATACGCCTCTCAGGACCAGGGACACCTGCCTGTGCTGTTGCTAAGAAACCAGCCCGCATTTAAAGCCAGAAGGCCTGCCTGGGGCCGGCGCTCGGCTCTGCGGCTTGGGTGACCGTGGAAAAGCCGCCTAGTGGCCTTCTCTGGAAGGGCCCTTCCAACTCTCCCTCCATTGTCTGATTTCTTCCTTTTACGGAGCATCAAGAGAATGGTTTATACACCACACTCCTCTCCTTGGATGCTGAAAGACTGAAACACCTTAATTCAATAATGTCATCTATAACTTCTGAGTCACCTCGAGAGCATCACCAAGGGAGCAATGACTTAAGCGGAGAGGACTGCTGTGCCTGGACCTTGTTGAGGGTCTGACGGCATCCCGGCACCCAGCGGGGCCGAGTTCAAGCCGCCTCGGACACACGCTGGTTGTGGGGATCGGCCCCTCCGTACCAGTTCAGCAGTGGGATCTTAGGGTCGTGCGGCTCAACGTCATTTTTATGTAGCTATTTATCATGACCACTCCAAGTGCCACAGGCTGTGCGGGGCTTTACAAGCCAACCTGACAGCTCCATCTTACAAACCAAACCAAGGGGAGGGGACAAAAGAGCAGACGGGACACGAGGCCCCCACCTGCTCAGCACCCGAGGCTCGCTGATCAAGGAGTCATTAACTCGTGTTAAACAAGTGCCAGGCATGAGGGCAGGCAGAGGGAAGGGTCCCTTTGTGCCTTCAGCTCCAGTCGAGCTACATCTGGGTCGGTCAGGTCTGGGAGCCGCACTGGGGGAAGGATCTGGAAGAAGGCAGGCCCTGTGGGAGGGCACGCCAACCAAGCGGTCCGTAGGGTGGGACCAGGAGCAGGGTGGGGGGGAGGGGAAACACCTGGTCCCAGTGGCCCTTCCCTCAGCTCCCTGGCTGAGGGCCTGCCAGAGATGGAGTGGCTCAGAGCCCACGTTTCCCGGTTCTCTCCCCGCTTCTGTTTAGTCTGCCAGCTACCCAACGCTGTCCATCTCGGGCTCGTGTGGGACCAGCCCCTGCAGCCTGACAAATGCAGCAGAGCCAGCCGGACCTCTGGACTGATCGAGGTCACACCCCGGAGGTCAGCTTTAAAGTTCGAGAGGAGGCAGCGGGCTGTTGCGGTCCCCGTCTAGGACCTCTCCTCCCTCTTTTGGGACGGAATGGGTTTAAAACACGACAGGAGTCTGGCTGGCGTCACTGGAGATTTTCCAAGTAATGTTATGTACAGGTTTATTGCCAGGGTATGCACAACGGGGAGCACAGAACCATAAATACACAATGTGATTAACAGTTAAAAGGAAAACAAGGCGCCGGGGGAGGGGCCCAGGTGGGGGCGACGCGGCCGCTAGAAAAAGGACAGGATGTTTTCCCTCGTCTCAGGAGTTTCTCCATCCGTTTCTAACATTGACTCGGCCAAGCGGGCTCGGCTTCCGTGATGGTGGTGGCATACGGGGGGTCACGGACACGAACACGGGAACCGCTGAGGGCTCGCTGCACGGGACGACGGACGGTGCGGGCGCTGGCTCTGCAGAGGTAGAGAGGGAGGTGGCCGAGAACGGGGGACCAGCTTCCTTCTCCTCAGCCCCCCAAGGGGAGAGCTAAGGAGCTCGCTGCCAGACAGCTGTCTCTCTCGCTCCGGACAGGCCTTTGTCCAGAAAGTCTTACGAGCCACGTGGAGCTGAAGCTGGAGAGACAGACCGAGCTCCCCAACTGCCCCCCCGCGGGAGGCCTGGCCAGCCTCACGCCCACTCGGTCTGGCGACCTCTCCGGGCCCCGCAGGCTCCGCTGGGCCTCCGCGATCCGAGATGGCGGATGCCGTCCACCAGCACCGGTCAGCTGCGCAGGACCGGCCGATTCCTTTCGTGTCCGAGGCCTCCCAGCTCTCTGGCCCCATCAGGCCCCCAGACCGAGTGCGAGGGGCGAGCTCCAGGGGAAAGCCTTGCTTTTTTCCACAGCATTTCACGTTTCTAGCAAAGGATGTGATAGTCACCAGACTATCAAAGTGGTAACAGAAATGTTATTCTGCAGCTGAATAAAGGCAAAAATGTTTTTAGATTCTAAACTTGTGAAGCTCCAAGCATTCCTGTTTAATCAGCAATTTAAAAAATTTATACAATCATAACACTGGCAAAGGTTAATGGGAAGACAGGAGTGAGGACCGGTAAAAAATCATTCTGTGTTCATTAACCGCATTAATACTGTTGTCCTCAGCTCGGGATCCACTCTATGCAACGGGGACATGCAGGCTGTAGACAGCCACCTGTTAAAGAAAGAAGGAGGGGGGAAAGCCGGAATTCAGATGCGGGTCCTGGTCCCACTCGGCTAACTCTGCCCGGGCACGTCGCCGGCTGCGCTGGGATCGCTCCCTCCAGAGCCCGTCTGCGCCCGCTTGATGTACAAATTTAACAGCTTCATCTGCGGGGGGAACAGATGGACAGTGTGTGTCACCAGCTGGACGCGAGACCCTGGACAGAGGGCAGAAGCCTCTCCCACCCCCCGCGTGCCAGAGAGAGGGCACAGTCCGGGGAGCACGCCTGACCACCCCTGGCCCTTTCTGGCTTCTGGCATTCTTCACCGGAGGAGTTTCCCCGAAGACAAGAAAAGGAATTTCATTTTATTCAAGGAAGCGCTTAGGAAGCGCTTCCCGTGTGCCAGGCCCAGGCTGAGTGCTGGGGACATAGAAAGAGGCCGGCAGGAGAGAGAGGAGGGGCACCTGGCCCACAGCCTCAGGACAGCATGAGTCCAGCCAAGGAGGGGAAGTCCCTGCTCTCATGCCGGGCCACGAGGGCCACCCATCTGCCCCTAGGCCAGGCGCTGGGCCTCTGGCCCCAGGCTCCAGAGCCCACCTGCCACCATGGTGGCACCTGCTTCCTAACAGAAGTATTCATGCGCCGACTGGACCGTCCCCCCTTTCCCCAACACGGGCCCTGCCATCCACCATTGCCAGCCCCCGGGCACCGCTCACACAAAACCTTGCATCTCCGGACTCTGGGCATTTTTTCTGGCGTCCCCCAGACCCCTATAAGAAGCCTTTCTAGATCCCCCTTAACGCTGATGCCTTCCTCTGGGCATGGCTGGTGGTGTGTCTGTTCGCACAGGGCGGGGCGTGCTGTCTCCCCAGGGCTTAGCCTGGGCCTGGCACACAACAGGTGCTCAATCAACGTCTGCTGACTGACCGGCTTGCTCAGGTCATGGAGCGGGGCACGCAGGGGCCAGCTCTTTCCACTGGGCCTTCTAGGACCCAGACACATCATGAATGACTAGTGCTCTGAAAGGTTAAATCGTGACCCTAGGAGGCGGGTTTCTTGGCTGGGTCCCCCAGCCCTGCGCGCTCCAGAAAGGCCCGCAGACTTCTCGCCCCCCCCTTTGCTGACGGATTTCCTGTCCCCTTCTCACACCGACCGTCTCGCTTTGGGGATCGGCTGATGAGCCCACGGGAGGCCAGGGGAGGCATGGCAGTCAGCCCAGGTCTACACTTACTTTGCTCCCCGTGAGCTGGCTGAGGTGGGGCTTCAGCTCGTCGCCGATGACGGCGTGGATGGCCACGAGGCAGAAGACACAAGCTTTCCGGACGCTGCTCTCTGAGTTGTCGTATCCCTAGGAAGAGAGGGAGAACGGGGCTGGGACCTTGGGAAGAGCCAAGACTCACTGTGGGAACCATTTTACGCCACGGGGTCTGGCCACTCAAGACAGCGTCTACACAGCCTGCAAACACCTTCCGGTAAGCAAGCCCAGACGACCATTCAAATCCCCAAGCGCCTCTGCAAAGAGGCGGCTCCTTTCTGCCCAGGGCTGGTGGGGGGGGGTGGGCCGTGGGCATCCGGGGCGGGCATGGTGGAGGCAGGTGGGAAGTTGTGCAGGAAATGTGGATCTCCCTCATTGTGGGGAGGAACACCTCCAGCAAGCAGTCAGAGGGTCACAGAACAGGGGGACTGCCCTCATTCCTATTTTCAGGGGACCCTGAATGTTCCTTATTTTTTTTTTTTAAGGCAATTGCGGTTAAGTGACTTGCCCAGGGTCACACGGCTAGTAAGTGTCAAGTGTTTGATCTGAGGCCGGAGTTGAACTCAAGTCCTCCTGACTGCAGGGGCAGTGCTCTATCCACTGTGCCACCTAGCTGCCCCTTTGGAGAATTGATCATTATTATTATTATTATTATTATTTTGAGGCAATTGGGGTTAAGTGACTTGCCCAGGGTCCCATAGCTAGTGAGTGTCAAGTGTCTGAGGCCGGATTTGAACTCAGGTTCTCCAGACTGCAGGGCTGGAGCTCTATCCACTGCGCCACCTTGCTGCCCCATAAAAATGCATTTAAAAACTAAAACACAAAAGCCAATCCATTCTTACTACTGCCCCCTCGAGGTCAGCAGGGTGTGTCCATTCTCAGACACGACTCCCTGGAAGCTGACCATCAGACGACCAGTTACTCTGCAGTTCCCCTTCCGTGGGAGGAGGGCCTTGAAGGCTGTACCCTGTTCACAGGGGAGGGCTTTTCTAATCCTCAATGAACCCAGGGACAGCTTGTACCCCTGACACTTGTCAGAAGCAGGGTATCCTGGAGAGAAGCAGCTGTGGTGGCCCCCTCCAGGATGCGCTCGATGCACAAAGACTGGCCCACATCCACAAATGAGGCCTTGGGCGAGCAGGTGCAGACACGCTCCCCCGCCAAACTCGGCCCCCACGATAGCAACACGAGGTCACCGGAGCATCGGCTACATGGCCAGCACCCCCCGGGAACCGCCACACATCAAAGCCCCGCTGCGCGGCCTGCAGGCACCAGCACAATGGCCAAGCAGCCCTGGCAATCGCCGGCAGAGGCGTGGGCCGTGAGGCTCACAAAGGACTTCTGGCTTCTTTCTGCCCACCCGAGGGAACATGTGGGAAAAAGGACCGTCCGTGTGGCGGTCTCTCAGCGGCCTGAGGCCCCGCTCACACGGAGAGTCCCTCGGCTGACCGAGGGTTTACAGTCAGGAATGCCATTGGCCCAGTGCCCTTCCGGCACAGACCGCCGTCACCGGGGAAGGGGATGGGACCGTTTCACATTCTCTGCTTTTTGATGAACGAGGGCAGCGATTCTACCAGCTCCCCCATCGGGCTGGGTCATGAGAGGCCACGTCGGGCCATCTGCTGAAGGAGGGGCGGCGGCCCTGACCCGTCCCGTGTCTACCACATCTACCACAGGCTCTCCCTACCTGGATGAGGCCTGGCACGATCTCCGGCAGCAGCTGGGCCAGGGTCTCCTGGGACACCCTCTCGATCACCTTGGTCTGCATCTTGATGGCGGCCAGATTGATGGGGTAATCTGCCGTCTGGATAATAGGACAGAGCACTTTGATGCACTGCTCCGGGCTGATGGAGGTGGCCAGCATGGACGCGGCTTCTTCGGCAGACCTCACCACCTAAACCACGAGGGGGAGAACCGAAATGCAGCTTTCTCAGGTGTTTCTGCGTGGAGAAGGCGGCTCCTCCCCACCTGGCCAGCTGCGGTACAACGCTCCCCTCCCTCGCGCCCCTGCTGGCTGACTTCCTGGGTGGCGGCCCAGCTCTGGGCGCGGCACAAGGGGCTGGGGAGGGGGCCTGCTCTGGGCTGAGAGGAGTCTGGCTTTCCCTGCACATCTAGGAAAGTCAAGGTCCTGACCGTGAAGCCAGGCCCTGCCAGGCTGCAGTCATCCCACCTGGGATCTCCTCCCACCCATCTGTCCTCCAGCCTTTACGTCCTGGGCACTGAGGATGCAGAACCCATGGAGACGCGGCCCCGCCTCTCGGGGGAAGGGCAAGGAGCCTGAAGGGGCAGAGGAGGGTGCCACGCTGCTGATCCCAGGAAGGCCCTCACCATACAGAGACTGCTGTCTCCGAGTTCCAAACCCTACATGAGTCATCACCATCCCCCCACCTCCCTCCCTCTGAGGCAGCCTGGCCCAGTGACGGCCGGGCCCTTGGGGCCCAGGCCACAGCCTCTGCTCATTCTGACTCCCCTCTCAGGGGAGGCACTCACCTCTTTATGTGGGTCCTTGTGGGCCTCGAGGGTCTTCATGATGGTCAGCTCGGCGTAGTTTTTAAATCTGGCCGGTTGGTTCCTTAGGATTTCTCTTAGGACTCTCAGGGCCAAAGCCCTGACTGAGTGCTGAGGAGAGAGGTTGGTTAGGGTTATTTGGGCGAAACTCTGAGCACCGTGTGTGAATGCAGACGGAGCCCCCCGTGAGGACCGAGCAGGCAGCCTCCGTCCCTTCTCCCTGGAGGCCAGGATCTCCTCTCGATGGCGAAGGGGAGGGGACCTGGGCACGGCTCTGTCTGCCCAGAGGTGCCAGGCTCACCCCCTGCCGTGCTGGACGGAGGTGAGGGAAAAGGGTCTGCCATGGACCTGGGGCGAATGACGTGGCCACATGAAGGCTGTGCTTTACAGAGCCGAGCGTGGAGGCCGGTCGGCCAAAAGGAGCCACACCTGGACTCAGGGAGGGGGCCCTTCCCTGCTTCCCGAGACTCCAGGCCACGCACGGTGGACACCCTGACCTGCACAGCCAACGTGGGCAGAGGGCCCGGGTCTGCTTCGTCGCCAGGTGCGCGACGGCTAGGAGGGTCTGCCCCCCCCGGGGCTCCCGGCCAGGGGAGGAGCCGCCGATCACCTCTCTGTCTCCGAGCGTCTCGAGCAGTAAGAGCAGGATGGTTTTGAAGTGCTCATCCCAGACCCCAAAGGCGTCTTCTTGGGTCAGCTTCAGGAGCTCGCAAAGGGCGCTCTTCCTCTCCTCCACGCGCTCGTTGTGGTTGGACAGCTCCTTCAGCAGCTCGGCCACCAGGTCCGAGTGGTCCAGGGACAGGTCTGCGGAGGGAGGGGGAGAGGGCCCGTCGGCCCCAGAACCGCCCAGAGCGCTGGCTAGCCCCCGTCAAGCTGCCTCCCCCTGAGCCGGCCCTGCCCTGCCCTGCCCTGCCCAGGACTCACCATCGGGAAACTGATCTGCGTCGTCATCAAACATGGCTTCCTTCAAGGCTGACTTGTTGAAGGAGCCGACGCCATCGGAGTAATTGTAGGGGTTGTAGTCCCGAGAGCGCGGGGAGGAGTGCGGGGGCATCGTGTTTAGCATTGAGGTCTTGTTGTCGAGAACCGCTCGGCCCGCGTCGGGGGCGTCCCCGCCAGCGCGAGGGTCGCTGCCCATCTGAACGGGTGGGAGAGAGACAACAGTTCACAAACCCTGGAGGCCCCGAGGGTCCTGCCCCTGGACAGTTGGTTTTTCAGAGAATCGGACAAATCTACGATGTCTGGTGTCTGGCCTCTGTACTCCTCACACCCGGGCCGCCATCACGGCAGGAAGGATGCTCGGGGTCCTGTCCAAAGGGGCCTTGAATGAAAGGACCAAACAAAAGCCCGGCCTGGGAGCAGGTGTCGGGACCTGAGCTTAAATGCCAAGGCTGACCCTGCCTGCTGGGGCGATGCTGGGTGAGTCATGGCACCTCCGTTTCGCCATTTGGGGGGATGACAGGACTGGGCGAGATGACTGCCAAGGTCCCCGCTGAGCCTAACTACCCGCAACCTTAGGCCTCGGCATCTTCAGCTCCCAAACCACAAAGGCGGATGGAGTCTGCGACCTGACCCTGGGGCCGAGGGATGCTGGCAGCGGCCTGCGCGAAGGACCCCTCCCCCGGGGCTTTTCTCAGAAGGTGGGGCGGCTGTCAGCCACTACTCACCGGCTCACCGTCGCTCTCCCTCTTGGGCTCCCTCTTGACCGGCTCATTCATGTCCTCCTGGCTGCGGAAGCTGAAATTCTGGATGGCTTCCGTGACGCCTCGAAGAGAGCTGTAGATGTCCTCGGAGTTCATGTTCTCCGTGTCGTAGTCAAACGTGCTGCCAAAGACAAGTTCGGTCAGGCCCTGCCGCTCCCGCGACAGGACGGCCTGGAAAGCAGCCCCGGGGCCTGGAGAGGGCAGAGACCATCTGGACTCCATTTAGATACAAAGGGGGCAAGAGGCAGTTGGCATGTGGCTGCCAAGTTTAGATAATCTGGGGGAATGGGCCAGAAGACACCAGAACATCAGTTTTGCTTCAGAGCAGAATGACTGTGGGGCAATCTCCTAAAAACCTAGCGAGAATGGACCTCAGTTGGGAGGGACGGCGTGGGCCCCAATGAATGTGCACCAAACACAAAGGGGCCCCCTCCCCACTCAGAGGGGCGGAGACGCCTCCCAGCCTGAAGCTGCCTCCTCCTCTTCCCTCCTTCAGGATGTTCTTGGAGACAGAGGACAAGGATAGTTCCCACTGTGAACTAGATGAGGAGTGGTCCCCACAAGCTGGGTTACCAGGCCTGGCTAACAATCAGAGACTCTGGACCACCCCCCTCCCCCAGCCTGCAACGCGCGGCCTCCTCTGGACTCTGAGGGCCTCTCATGAGCCATCAAGGCTCAATCAAATGCCGCTGCCTCCAGAACGGCCCAGCGGCCAGGGTCCGCTCTCCCCACCCCCAATCACCGTGAGTTTATGGGCAGGTCTCCGTGATCCGCCAGAGCCCAGCAGAGTGAGGCCTGGCCCACAGTGGACAACCAACAAATGCTTGCTGTGCAACCCACAAATCCCACTTTCCCTCCACGATGAGGGGCCGCCGTGGGCTAGGCTTCAGGGGTCAGGCGCCTTCCGCTCTGCGTGACCCTCCCAGGGATTAGCCCCAGCTCTGGCTATGTCTCTATAATGCCCAGGGTTTCCCGAGGGACCGGGTAAAGGGAGTGGCGTGCTGTCTTTCCCAAGGAGCAGGGGACGTCTCCTTACCTTGGTAACAGAGTGTTCTGAGCGGTGTTTGTGGGGGACGTAAGAGGACTGGGCCAATTAGCTGGTGAGCGTGGAGTGGGCCTCGTCAAGGGACTCCCCATTGAACCCTAAAGGGGGAGAAGACCATGCTGGCCATACTGACACAGGCCCTTCAGGCCTTGTCTGCCAACGTCTGCGCCCTTCACGCGATCCTTATGCTTCTCTCCACCATAGGGCCCAACACGCCCACTGCCACCATCTTGGTCCATGCAGGTCACTCCCTCTCCCACCTCCCCTCCAAAGGGTGAGTGTCCCCTTGACCGCCCCCCAGGCACCCCAGGTAACCCAAAGTGGCTGTAGCCCTTCATAAACGCCACCCCCCTGGGAGGTCCCAGGGCTCCCATCTCGGGGCATGAGACCAGCACCAGGGCAGCCACTGTGTTCCCAAGAGGGCTGGGCCTTTCCCCAGCCTCCGGCAGCTCCAGCTCCCACCTGGCATTACCTGGGTGCCAGTGCCTGTGTTCCGAAGGTGATTGTGAAGTAGTTTGGTAGCACCATCCTGAAAGGTTTTTGGTAAAGCTCCCAGCAGCATTGTAAACTCGGGAGTATTGAGCTCAAATAAGGAGATGAGCACCGCCTGAGCTGCCTGTAAAGAGGAAGGGCCCAAGGCTGGGTCAGGGGAGAAGACTGCCTACGCAAACACCCCTCCTGGGACCAGAGACAGGCATGGTGGGCTAGCCCAATCCTGGAGACCAGCAGGATGGGCTAGCCCAGGCCCAGAGACCAGTACAGTGAGCTAGCCCACGCCCAGAAAATGGCATGGTCAGTCTGTCCAGCTAGAAGCCAGGCAGAACAACCAGCAAATAGGGTTGGGGAACAGAGATCACCTTTCCCACACACGGTCAATGTGTAGGACTCTATTTCTCAGCAACTTCCCACCATCACCACAGGCATTTGCAGCCCTAGGGGGCTGGTCCCACATACCTCCCCACCCAGGACAGGAGATGATCTTGTAGCCGTCAGCCCAAAGGATGGTACAAGGGAGGAAAGCGGGCAGGGCCTGGCTAATGCCGAGCCACGTCCAGAGATTCCCTCCAAAGGACGTTCTGACTATATTCAAGTGCAAGGTTGTTGTGGGGAAAAGCCCCAAAGAGCCATAGAAATGGGCCAGGTTGCATTCCAGCTGCGGCTCCAGAATGTCATGGGGAGGAAGATGCCACTGCGTCCCAGGGCCACAGTCAGAAGAGGAAGGTGCCCGATGGCCCGTGGCAGGGTCAGTGTGGTGGCTCCAAAGGTCACTGGGAGGGAGGTGCCGCTGCATCCCAGGGCCACGGTCAGAAGAGGAAGGCACCCGATGGCCCATGGCAGGGTCAGTGTGGCAGCTCCAAAGGTCACAGGGAGCAAGGTGCTGCCATGTCCCAGGGCCACGTTCAGAAGAGGAAGGTGTCTGATGGCCCATGGCAGGGTCAGTGCCACCTCCTTATGCCTGAGCTCTTTCCTTAGCCAGCCACCCCTGGCCTTCTCCAAAGAGTTTCTACAGCAGGAAGCATCAATCCACTTGGTTCATTAAGTGTATGTGGTTTGCTCATGCCCACGCATGAGCACACACCTACATCTATCATTTAAACTTCTTTTTTGGGGCAGCTAGGTGGCACACCAGCCCTGGATTCAGGAGGACCTGAGTTCAAATCTGGTCTCAGACACATAATACTTACTAGCTGTGTGACCCTGGGCAAGTCACTTAACCCCACTGCCTAGCCAAAAAACCCCCCCAAAAACCACTTCCTTTTCTATCAGCTAGCAATAAACTGACAACCGGTTTCTGCTCAGTCTCCAGGACAGCTAGGGACTGTTCCCAAACAGATGGAGGTCAGGTGGCCACCAGGCAGGCGGCTTCCTGCTTCAGACAAGGACCAGACTCTGGCAAAGATCCCAGGAGGTCCCGGGGCGAGGATTCCACGCACAACTGTCTTTGGAAGGGATGAATGTAGCCTCTTGTCCGAGCCTGGACCAGCACACAGAGCAGGGGCCTGCCCGCATCAGTGGAGCACAGGCTCCCCTCCAGGAAGTCCAGGCCTCACCCAGATGACGCGTCTAACACACAAGGCACGTGCTTCCTGAACGAAATATTTTGGGTCCCAGACCACACGTCAATGGGCTGTGATGGAGTGGACGGCCCAGGGAACTCCTCCCAAGGAGAGATGCGTGACGTGAAGCTGACAGATGATGGAGCCCGGTGGCTCTGTCTGTGTGGGTGCAGGCCCGGGACCGCCCAGTCGGCACCAAGCCCTCTCACTCAGTCCCACTGGCAAGTGCCTTCATCTTGTGGGCGTCACAATCCTGCCCTGCCCAGTGTCAGCTCTCTTCCTTCCCCCAGGAGGCCCTGGGTGTCCGCATGGCAGTGGGGCTGTGTCTCTCTCTGCTTGGCCTAGGTCTGGGTCACAGCAGGGCCTTCATCAATGCCACCTTCCTTCCATCCTCTTTTCCCAAGGGTTTCTTTATAATGAAAAGTGAAGCATAAAGCAGACTCCGCTAGCCTGTGGCCTGGGCCAGGGCTCTGCAGCTGCCAGGACAGGTCAGGGGCACCCGAGCTCCACCCTGCTCCCGACTGAGCCTTGCCACCAGGACAGGAAGAAGAAGCCAGCCTGGGAGACGTGGCGCCCCTCCCCTGGCACCAGAGGACAGCTGCCCACACAGCAAGGTTCAGGACCAGAGCAGATGTGGGAGGGCTCTGGGCTGGCTGTAAATAGCTGGGGCTCTGGTCCCCTCAGACCAGCCTCCCGTCAACTACTGGTGAGACAGAGATGGCGAGAGGAGGAGAGAACACAGTGAGGCCAAGAGAAGGCCAAAGCAGGAGTGTCCAGCAGCACTGGAGAGAGCAGGGGACAGGGGAGCCCAGGCGATGGCGGGTGGTCAGCTCTAACTGCTCCCCTCACCAACCAACCAGCGGCCAAAACGAGCCTCTGAGACGTCAGATGAAGCTCGGCCCTGGGAGGAAGGCACCCGGAGACCTCTGGGGTCATGGAATGCTGCCGACGGCGCCGGGACCTGCCTTCCCAGGGATGGCACACTTTCTACTGACGCGGGTTGGCACCTCCTCTCCCTCACTGCCCCAAAATTCCTAGGTAGCTGCCCAGGGGACCGAGAGGTCAAGTTCAGTGGCCGTCCAAGGGGAAAGAGCTTCTAGGTGTCTAAGAAATGGTTCAGCCTGGCTCCAGCGCTCGCTGCCCCATTCAGAGGGAGGGGTCAAGCATGGCAAGGACTGACCACACAGTCGATGCAGGGCTCAAGCAGACCACGGGTCAAACCAGCGTCTCGGGTTTGTTCTTGGGGAAAATCTCGCACCCAGAGCTCCACTGAAACATGCCAGGGCCAGCTCAGTCTGCGCTCTCGCTATCGGGGCCTCTCCTTGTCCTCTTGGGTTTGTCCCCAACTGGACTCCTGCACTGCCAGCAGCACAACAAAACCAGAGATGACCTGCCTGCGTGGACAGTGTAAAGGGAGCGCCGGGAAGAGCCACACTATGCCAAAAGACAGGAGGCCTCTACCTACCTTAGGACCAACTGAGACTTACTGTTCATGGCTGGGTCATGCCAACCTCTCTAACAAACACACAAATTCAGCGCTATGCTAATCCAACTGCCAGAAGGCCCGCTGGAGAAAGAGCAACAGACGAGTGTGGCCCGGCAGAAGGGCGGCTCCTGGAGGGCCACTTCCCTGGCCTGTTTCCCTGCTCCTCGAGCACCATGATAGAGAGAATAGTCAATACCAGAGGCCACAGGTGAGCCAGCCCACAGCCTCCTCACCCCTACCACGACCTTGCAGAGATCAGGGTTGGACCATGGTGTCAGAGCACCACTGTCCCGAGGACAGACATCTGCCCTTCGGGAAGGCCCACCTCTAGGGAAAATCAGAACTAAACCAAGACCTCTCAGCCCCTTGAAAAACCAGGAAGAGCGGCGTCACGGCAGACTGCCCGCACTCGCCTCTGAGGCTATCTCCGCCTCCATCCTTCCTCTCCTCGCAGGGCACAGGAATGTACTCCCACCCACCGAGGCCTGCTGCAATCGATGACTTTGGATGCTGCCGCCCACAGCCAGATGGTCCTGGGCCCCCCGGTGGCTAACGTGGCCCTAGTCACTGTGCACAGAGCTGCCATCTCCCCCAAAAGAGGAGGAGCCCCGCCAGGCCATCCCTGAAAGCCTCCGCCCCCTTTTCCAGCTTTGAACACTCTAATACACCCTTCCACGCCCTCTCTAGGGGCCCTCAACTGGCTGTGTGGATGGTCAAAGCCTCTTCAAGCCTGGCCAAGGCCCGATTCTCAAGGGTCCTGAGGCTCTGCCATTCTGGCTTCTCAGGCATCTTCCCAGTGGAAGGTGCTGAGACAGAAGGCAGCGGCCAGTCATGGACCCGGCACCAAAGAAGGGAGCATGCCTGGGGCTGCTGACATCTGACCAGCGTGTCCACCCAGGCCGCTGGTGAGACTCCTGGGAAGGGTCACAGCCCCGCCCGGCCGCCCGATGGTCACACCCTCCCACGCTCCCAGGGAGGCTCTTCCCAGGGCACTGGTCATGGTGGGCGCCCCCCCGACAACCGCTGTATGGGGGTCTGTACAGCGGAAGCATGCCACTTTTTTGGGTAGCCGCGTTTACACAGTGCCCATACTCTACCAACGTGATCTCACTGGATGTTCAGTCACCCTGGGAGGGAGGTGCCATTAGGAGCCCGCGTCTCAGCCAAGTGCGCCACAAAGCCGAGGCTGAAACTAGGCTCAGGGCGTGGAGGACCGCGACGCCCCTAGCGGCCGAATGTTCCCCTCTGATCTGCGTACCTTCCGAACGTCAGAACTTTTGGGTTCCGTGGTCCACGTGATGATCCGAGACACGGCCAGGCGCGTTTCACTGGAGTTGACAAAATCCCCCGGATCCATCTGCTGGGCTAGCGTCTCGATGTACTTGAGGATGGCGACTTTTACCTGCGAAGTCAGGGAGGGAGGGGAGAGCATCGGTTAGTGTTGGGAGTGGCCGAGGATGTACCCTTTTAAAGAGTCCACGTGCCAGCCCTCCAAACCAGTGCAGGGCTAAGTCAGTCATACCTGACCACCCTCGGAATGACAAAAGGAAGCGAGACAAGTGACCCCACAGAGCCCAACTCATCCGCGGAGGGCGAGGGGCCAAGGCAGCAGACCCTGCACGTCACGCCTTCCCTTGGAGGGCACCGGCCCCCGCACATGTCACGCCTTCCCTCGGGGGCCACTAGCCCCTGTGCGTGCCACACCTTCCCTCACCCCTGCGCATGTCACACCTTCACTCAGCTGCATCCCCCAGGCCTTCTCCAAGTCTCACGGTGGGGTCTCTAGGCCCCTCCCAGGTAGGCTTTATTAGAAGGGCCGTTGGGGGGAGCTGGACACACACTCAGGGGTCTAGTGTTACAGCTGCAACTCAAGTCCACCAACACTTACTATGAGCAAGGGGTAAAGAAGAGAGAGGATTCCGACTGGGTGCTTTAGTACTTGGCAAAAGCTGGGGATGAGGCTGGTTTTCTCCAGGGGTTCTTGAAAGGCAAGGCTACAAGACGTACAAAAATACTTCCAACACTGGGAGAATTGTTGATGTAAATATATAACTTTCCAAGTTGGCTGCTTGGAAAGACCAGGCTCATTTAAATGTGAAATTCAGGAACACTCTTTAAAACAAACATCACTGTTCCACGGATTCTATACTCAGGATTTCCAAATGTTTTAAGAAGCGAGACTGATATGAAACAGCCAGAAAAGACCAAGCTAAGATGTACTGACGGGGGGGGGGGGGGGGGGGGGGGGAGAGAAGCATCTATGTGGCGCCTACTGTGTGTGCTGTGCTGGCACTTTGCCAACAGTATCTCACTGGACCCGCACGAGAACCCTGGGATAGGGGCGCTGTCATCACCCCCATTTTCTCTTTTTAAATGAAAACATTTATTGTAAGAATCCCTTCGTGATCTCGGTCTCTCCTCGCCTTTGGACAAAGCAGCAGAGAAATGCTGGCTACTTTCACAACTCCAACGCGCCACCGGGAACACCGCTCATGGCCCGGCCTTTCGGCATGCCATCACTTTCCTCGATAATGGCACTTGGAACAAAGGCTGTCACTTTTTTTGCCACTTCCTGATGGCAGAACCGGGCCGCTTGGCTTTCTCCAGGACGATGTGCTTGGCGTGCGAGGTGCCCCCACGGGGTTGGCCTTGAGCGCCGTGCCCAGGTGGGCCTCCTTGCACAGCTTGTTGGGCCGCTTCTGGTCCCGCCGGTGGCTGCGCAGCTTCCGGGCCGTGCGGAGTCCGCGGCACGTGCCCATCTTGCCGTTGTCCCTCCGCTCCCAGAGCTCATATTGTCCCTATTTCCAAGCTGAGGAAGCTGAAGGAAACAGAAGTGAAGTGACTTGCCCAGGGTCACACACCCAGTAAGGGCCTTGTGCTCTTATCCCCGGAGCCTCACACTGCGTGCTCGTCACTGCCACACCCCAGCTTTGGGATGATGCAAACGAAACAGCAGACACGAGAGGAAGGGTGCGGATCCTGCCTGCAGTACAACCCTGAAGCCCAGCGACGCTCCACTCAGAACCTCTGCCCCTACCCGGAGGGTGGGTCAGCCAGGTGCCGGCACTCACCCTGGGGATGCCCCGCATCTCTCTTGGGACACTGAAAGCTTGCAGGTCCCCAGCCTGAGCTGTCCCTAAGACCCCAGACCAATCCAACCTCAATGCCCCAAGAAAGCAGTAACAAGGCGGGTCTGCAGGGGCTGATCTAAGACGGGAAAGAGGCTGGGAGAACGAACAACAAAAAGAGAATCCTACCCTAAAGAGACAGGGTGATGTCCCAAGACCCAAACCCAGAAGAAGAGAATGACTCCAAAACACCTACAAGCAAAGAACTCAAGGAAAACACAACGTGGGCGCAAGTTCAGCAAGAATTCCTGGAAGAGAAAAAGCATGGGGGTAGCTAGGTGGCGCAGTGGATAGAGCACCGGCCCCGAAGTCAGGAGGACCTGAGTTCAAATCCAGCCTCAGAGCAAACACTTGACACTTACTAGCTGTGTGACCCTGGACAAGTCACTTAACCCCAACTGCCTTAAGAAAAACAACAACAACAACAACAACAACCAAACAAAAAAGAAAAGAAAAAGCATAAGGTTGGTTTTTTTTTTAAGTGCTAACAATGATTTTAAAAATCAAATGAGCATACCAGAGGAAGAAATGTGAAGAGAAATGAAAGCTATGGAATTGGAAAGAGGACAAGAGGTACCCAAAAACCAAACTCTCTGAAAATCAAGATGAACCAAAAAGAAGCTAATGACTCCACAAAACAAGAAATGTGATTGCAAAGTCAAATGACTGAAAAAGTAGAAGAAAATAGAAGACGTCTCATAGCAAAATAATGGAAGCAAAAAACAGATCAAGGAGAGACAAATTAAACAATCGTTGGACTACCCGAAGACCACGACTAAAATAGGGCCTAGACCTCCTGTTTCATGGAATCTTAACAAACAAAAACAAAAACAAAAAAACAAGACTGCGCAGTCTTCTTGGAACCAGAGAGCAACGTAAAAACAGAATACAAAGTCACCTCCCGAAAGAAACTCGTCAAATGAAAACTCCCAGGAACATTACAGCCAAAATCCAGAATGTCTGGGTCAAAGAAAAACTACCACCAGTAGCCAGAAAGAAAGAATTCAAGTCCTGAGGAACCAGTCAGGATCACACAAGATTTAGCAGCCACCACTTCAAAGTAGTGGAGAGCTTGGAATTTATTACAGAAGACTAAGAATGGAGGCTTACAACCAAAAATAACTTACCTGACAAAACTAAACATAACTCTATGGGGAAAAAATGGACCTTTATAGAAATAAAGGGGCAGCTAAGTGATACACTGGAAAGAACCTCAGGCCTGGAGTCAGGAAGACTTGAGTTCAAATCTGAACTCAGATACTTACTAGCTGTGTGACCCTGGGCAAGTCACTTCACCTTGTTTGCTTCAGTTTCCTCATCTGTAAAATGAGCTGGAGAAAGAAATGGCTAACCACTCCAGTATCTCTGCCAAGAAAATCCCAAATGAGATCAAGAAGAGTCAGACACGACTGAAATGACTGAACAATAACAATTAAATAAAGGACTTATAAACATTGCTGATAAAAGATTAAAACTAAGTGGAAACTTTGAAGTACAAACAGAAGAGTCAAGAGAAGCATAAAAACGTAACCACGAGAGATCATAAGGGAATAACAAGGCTCAATTCTCCCTTCACAACCCTATCATCATCAGGGATCATGGAAAGTACCTAATTAGACAGAGAGCCGAGGAGCGGTTCTGTTATGTTTTGACAATCTTAGAAAAAGAGTGGAAAGGCAGTGGGAAAAGAATACACTTGGACGGGGGGAACAAAGCTGAGGAAGCATGGGAAAATTATCTCCTGTAACTGTAGTGCCCAAGTTATGCGGAGTCTATACAAATAAGAAGGAAGACCCATGTGCAGGAAGCAAGCGACCCTCGACACTTACTCTCACCTGAACTCGCCAAGGGAGGGAAGAACAGAGGCACCAACACGGTAGGTGCTGAAGTACGCTTTACTCAACCGAGAAGGAGGAGAGAAAGTGGCAAAGGGAGAGGGAGGAATGAAAGAAGGAGGTTAGGTTAAGGGAGAGAGGAGTCCTCACCAAAACAAATTCTAACTGAGGAGGGTGGCCTTCAAAGAGGGTTAGAAAACCAAAAAGCGGAGGATGTATCACTGGTCTCTGGGTGAGGGATTAGAAAGCAGAACCCAACAATATGTTGTTTACAGGAAACATACTTGAAAGAGAAAGATGCACACAGAGTTAAAAGGAGGGGCTGGAGCAAATCAATTATGTTTCAGTGGAAGTAAAGAAAAAAAAAAGGCAGTGGGTAGCAATCACGGTCACAGAGCAAAAATAATTAAAAGAAGTAAACACGGAAAGCACATTTTGCTGAAAGAGGTATCCATGACAGTGAGTTAATATCAACACCACACATTGATGTAACAAATGACCTAACATCTAAATATTAAAAAAAAAAAAATAGTTAAATGAATTACAAGAAGGAAGAGACAGTAAAACTATAATAGTGGGATGGGGGGTGGTGACCTCAACAGACCCTCTCAGATCCACATAAATATGACCAGAAAGAAGCAAAGGGCTCAAACTGAATTATAGAAAAGTTAGACCCGATAGAGCTTGGGAGATGACGGAATGGGAATGGAAAGTAGCATACCTATTTCTTACCTAAGTGTGGTATCTCTACAAGACTGACCGTGTGCAAGTGCATAAGAAATCTCATGAACAAATCTAGCAAAGAAAAAGTATTAATGCATCTCTTGTGGAACATAATGCAATAAAACTGATGTTCAGTAAAAGGCCGCTAAAGAAACAATTACAAATTAATTGGAAACTGAACTGGGAGGTCAAGAATCAATCCTAGAAATTTTAGATGATGTCATTAAAGACAATGGCGAAATTGAGACAACACGCAGATGTTTCTGGCAGGCAGCCCATGGGGAACCTTTACTTTAAACGGGGAGGGAGGTGAGGCGATTTCAGGGTTCTGAAGGAGCAGGCCACAGGGGCAGTTCTACCTAGAGATGAACAAGAATGCTCTCTCTAGCATTTCCCACAGGTGGACACCTCAGACTCAACTGATCCAAGACCTGAACTCATCTTCTTCCCTCCTACGGCCCACAGCACCGTCATCTTCCCTGTCACCCAGGCTCCTAACCATGACATCATCCTCAACTCCTCCCTCCCTCCCTCCCCTTCACTGGACATAACCAATCTACTTGTCAGATTTTTTCCTTCTTCACACTCACACAACCAACCTTATCAACTCTTCCCTTAAAAATAATTCAGATGAAAGAGACAAAAAGATTTTTTTTTTGTTATTACCTAATTTACATGTAAGACCTCCTCCCTTCTCCTCCTTTATCAGGATTTACATAATCAGCTCCTTCCACAGAGCAGAGCAGCTTTTATGGATTCAAGTTGGGCTCTGCAACCATGCATGACACATTATCTGTATGGCTATGAAAAAAACCACCCCATAATGCAAGTCTTGAAGATGCCAGGAGAGCTTTAGGGACATTTCGCTCCAAAGTACTTGGACTGTTCACCACCTTCAAGTGAATGTTTTAAATACCCTGAGTCAAGTGTCCAGAACATAACAAATGGAGCCCAGCTAACCTCACCTCTTCAAAGGTCATGATCTGTCCTTTGACCACCACCACAAAACATCATCTCTATGAGCACCTGCAACAGACGAGAGAGAAGCCAGAATCATCAGGCTCCCCAAAAGCTGACCATGTGGACAGGGAGGCCAAGACGGAGCCTCCAACAGAGCTGAAGCTTTGCACCCAAATGAGGCAATGGTGTTGACTTCCATTGGCCTTGGGGCCAGAGAGGGCGGTGTTCGTCCACATCCTGTTAGCATCAGCTTGAGTACAGGATGGTCGCATGGGCCAATACAGCGTTGGTGATGTCAATGACATCCTCTGAGGATGTGGAAGGCAGTTTCATGGAGACTATAGGATTCCATACCTAAGAAAGATGGTTGGAAGAGAGCTTCCAGGCACTGATCCTTTCTGCCATCAGGGAGAGCAAAACTCCCTTCCAGGGAAAAGTAGACGAAGCTGTCTAAGGCAGCACTAACAACTTTTCTCAACGTCACACATAATTTCCCTCTTGGTCATGGTCGTGAAGCTCTAACTCTTCTAGTTGGAAATTTAATAGGAAGTTCATCAACAAATGAATGATAAAGCATTTATTACAAGCATGTGAGCTGGGCATTGTGTGAAATGCTGGTGAAAGAGCCGTTGCCTTCAAGAAGCTAATATTCTAACGGGGGAAAAACCATACATAGCCTCATGATGGAAAAGGAAGAATGTAGCATCTTTGTAGATGGTGGCAGGATGTGATGTGGAGGCCTGACCAAAGCTATACAGTGTCAGAGTACTGAGTTGTGTCAGGGGTGGGGAGTAGGAGCGCCATCTGAGTCCTGGCTGCATGGTTTGGGGGTAAGGGCTGGGAAGGGTCAAGGCCAGCAAAGACCCAGACAGAGGACAGAGAGCCTTCCCGGACAGCCCCATTGTGGATCACAGCAACCCTGGAGTCCATCCGAAGACCAGTGATACAACCAAAAGCATACCTGGATAACATGGCCTGGAGGGCACTTTAGGGTCAGGGTGCCTCCTGTTCATGGGGTTTCCTCCTCTATGGAGCCATCTTCTTGGCCCATACCAACTATCAGACCCAAATGTCTGGGGCACCCCAAAACGGATGGGAAGACAGACTGAGGGGCACTGTCAACTTTGCCTGTCTGGAGCCACTGTCAGTAATAAGGAGGCAGGCCTGCTACACCAAGGGGCTCAGGACTCCTTCACAAGACTCTCTGGGTTCCTCTCGGCAGTTCCACTGGTGCAGAAGGGCCTGATGGCTGTCCACTGAGATCAGTCTGGGGAAGATCCTCATCAGGCTGGCTCAGAACACGTGCCCGGGACAGCCAACAGACCCAGGGTCCTCAGCAGGAAGCCCCCAGGATGCCCCTTCTCTCCTACGTCGCTCCAAGCGTGCACGGCCTGTCCTCCTTCAAGCCCCACCCTGGAGCACATCTCAATCCCCCTCCCTTTTCAATCCTTCTTCTGATTTGTTTTCAAAGACATGCTTCATGCTCCGCCCAACCTGGAGACGGGAGAGATGTCCTCAGAGCCTCTGTGGGGGAGGGGGAGCACCTTCAGGGAGGACACCTCCCTAAGAATTCGGAGTTCTGGATGGCGGTCTCAGGCTCCCCCCCAACAGGATCTCCGAGGCTCTTCCAATGCACTGCCTCCTTTCCAAATGAGCTGTGAATCACGGCTCTGCACCCCAAGTCTCCTCTACCACCAGAGGAGATTTCTAAAACCCATTAATCAAACATGAGAAAATGGGCAAAGGATAATCAAGAAAATAGGCTGGAAGCGTGTTGTGAAGAAACAGACCCAGCTATGCTAAAGTCTACGGAGAAAGCTGAACGAGATGAGGGAGTGAGGTCTTTCCTAATACACACGGAAGATTTTTTAAAAACAAGATTACACAGATAAACCACACCGAGGAATTAGGATGGGAAACAGGCCCGGAAGGAGACCCTTCCCCCCACCCCCCACCAACTGGTTGGACAGTACCCAGGCTCAAGAACAAACGATACAAACAGCACATTCTATTAAAGGTCACGACAATTTAAATGCAGCACACACAGAATGCAGCCCAAGCGGTCCTCAGAGGCAAACTCCAATTCCTGAAGGAGATATTAGCAGGAGAGACCAGAGGAGAATGAGCCGAGTTTGCAGTTAAAGATGTTAGTAAATGAACTCATGACCCCTTCCAAATGCAAGCATGAGGCACAAAAGGCTGTAATAAGCAAAAGAGAGAACCATGGTTAAAATGCCAGTGGCCTGGTCTGTAACTGGAGTACACGGGGTACACGGGGGTAATGGCTCCTCCTTTGAATCTGGGCACCAGGAACGCCTACAGAGAAAACCGTCTGTGCTCCTGAATGAGGTGCAGGCAGTGTGGCAGACACCCAGCCCTAGGTGAGGAGCGCCTCACTTGGAATGGCAGACATCGCATGCTCAAAAGTCCTTTGCCAAGTTAGTTAGCAGGCAAAGCAGACTTTCTTGGAGTATAGGGGCAGGGGAGCGTCAGCGATGCAGACAAAAACCTTGGAGCTCCCAGGGGAGGAACGCAGCTGGTCCCGCAGGGTGGGCTGGACTGCCTGAAAGTTCATAAAAACAAAATCCACCAATTGAAAAATCTTTTCGTATTGTGAGTGGACAGATCAATCTCTTTATGGAGAATGTCTCATTCTGGGCTCTTACCTTTAAGCTCGGCGTCTGGGTCTGATCCACAGTGAACCTCATCAGAATGTTGAACTGAAGGTCATTGGGGAAAGACTCTCTGGAAGAAAAGGGCACCAAGTGAGACCAGAACCACCACCACCACCGAAAATGGACTGACAGCGGGCACAGACACAGCAACTCTGGTCCTAACTGAACTGCGGCCGAGCTGACCGTTAACCCGAGCGTTCGTGACCCAAGTCCTCACCTACCAGTCTAAGCAGAAACGTGTGGCTATGAAGCTAAGGCCAAGTGGGGAATCCCTCTCAGGCAGACAGAGGCTTCCACCTGGCCCCAAAGGCACCAAGCAGCTGACTGTTTGGGGACATCGTCACGTGCCTCGGGAGCTCATAATCAGCCCCCCGCCCAAAAGAGGAACTGCAGGTAAACCCCAAAGCCTCTCCCCCGTTCCAGATGAGGAAGACGCAGCCTTCAGGAAGAGCATCTCAAGCCTGCCCCCACGTGATGCCCCTGCAGTGACTCTGGCATGGAGACGAGGTCAGGGCCACTCCAGGATGCCCACAGGAGGCAGACTGCAGCATCCCCCCTCGAGGAGGCGACTCGCACCAAGGGCTTCCATCCTCCAAGGACCGCTGGCCTTGTCAGTGGGGACACTCTCTTCAATGGCGCAGACTGCAGCACAGCCACGCCTTGTGGAAAAGCTAATGGAAGGAATCACGTAGACTCCGAGGGATCATCAGGAATGGTGGGCTGACTGGGAGGTCACTACGATTCAAAAACACAGGAGGGTGGGATGAGGCGACGTTGTATGTTAAAAAGGCACATCCTTATGTGGAAACCTGGCAGTGAGAGGACGTGAGAAACAGAAGGGATGTCATCACTGACACACACTGAAGCCACCCGGAAGTTTGAGATGACCAGACCCCGAGTCTGGTGACACCAGAATGGAGAGAAGGACGACTTCAACATCTCTGGACCAAAGGCAGAGCAGGGAGTAATCTCTTGTCTTGTCATAATGATGGTTTTAATCCTCCAAAAGGTAAGACAAACCAACAAACAGAAACTCTATTCTGGGTCAGATTCTCACCAACAGGAAGGAATTTGGTGTGGCAGAAATGACGGGAACCTTGTGGGGGCCCGACAGAAACGAGCAAGGCGGGGCATAGCCTGACATGGGCCCGAGATTCTGGGGGAGCAGGTTTCCAAGGACGCTACAGAACTCTAGAGGCGGGAGGGCCAGAAAGGATGAAACTCACGGACGAAATGCTAGAAAAGGGTCAGCGGCTTCGGTGAGGAGGAAAACCTGAGCTATCGGAAGAAAACAAACCATCAGAGGAAGCTCCGAGCAGAGATGGGGAGACAGGCAAGGTCCACGACGACAAGAACAAGCCCCTCCACTGCCCTGCGAAGGACGGAGCCACGGGGCCGGACGCCAGCTGACGAAAGGCCAGCGCAGCCACGGACAGAGTCCGCACGCGGAACAGCAGCATGAGTCGATCGGACTCTGGGGCGAGAGGGGTTAGCAAGCCACAGAGATGAGGAAGGGAGAGGCGGATCAGAACAGGCTGAAGGGAGAGAGGGAAATGGTCGCTGTGAAGGGGCCAACACCAGGCTGGCGGGGGGTCTCCAGGGGAGCGCCCCGGGAATCTGCATGACCCTGCCTTGTTGAACGCTGTCCTCAATAACTTGTTCAAGGCAGAGCTGACAGACTCCTCCAACTCCCAGCCGACACAAGTCTGGAGAGGGTAGCTCCCACACTGGAAGACTGAGTCAGGATCCAAAGAGCTGACAAGTGAGCCAGAGCACTAGGCTGGATCAAAGAAGATGAAATCTACATTACTGTAAGGCGTGCCTTGGACTTAAAAAAGAAAAAGCAAAAAACTGCTTCAAGCATAAGACACGTTTAGAAAACAGGACTGTAAAATACCTTCACGTTAATTAAGCATGAATGGGACAACTAGCCACCAACAGTCAACGTGGCAATGCAGCCCTCCAAGAGCTGATGGGACCTGGGCTTGTCTTAAGGAAGGCAGGAGGCCTCACAGGAAGGAGGAGTGGAGATTTCTTCCGGGCTCTGTCTGGGCCAGATGATACTGAACAATTATGCATCTTTGGCACCAGCTTTGAGGAAGGATGTGATGAGCTGAAGTGCGTTTACAGGAAGCCAAACAGGACAGTGAAGGGCCCTCAACACAAGTCACTCGGAGGGCGATCGGGTAGAAGGGCGGTGCTTGGCCCCCAAAGGTGGACCAGGGGCAGCGGGGAAGGTGCAGAGGCACATCCTTGTGTGCCTGATGGCTTATCGAGAAGGCCTATGCCTCTTCCTTGGAGGTCTCCAGGCAGGGGCTGGGTGGACGATCATTGGTGGGGGATGTTCTGGTGGGGATCCTGGTGGGCACGGGCTGGACCACAGCCGTCCTGTCTGAAATCTCACGGCCACCCTCCAGCGTTCCCGCGCTTGCTATACTTTCCCTACAAACTGCCAGCAGCTACGTGCCGTGGCCTCTTCCCACGTACCCTCCACAATTTGGATTCTCCAGAGATCACGGCCTTTGATTTTAAGCGTTAAAAGGGGAGCGGCTCAAACTTGCCAAAAGCAACAGAGGCTCGTCCTTCCTTCCCAGTCACTCTTGGCAACAGCTCCCTGGCTGCCCGTGGCACGCACAGGTACCGAGCAGCCGTTTCGGTAGCGAGCGGTCTGGATGGCAGGCCTGAGATGCCCCTCCGCCGAGTGGTTGGGAAATGTCACTTAGGAGGTTCTCTTCCCCCCCAAAAAACAGCCACCACCAGTCAGAAGCATAAGGAGAGGGAAATCTCCCTTCCACCTGCAGTGGGTACCGGCCTCCAGGCTAATAGGGACTCCCCTTCGGAAAGCTCAGATCACTGCTGAACCCAACACCAAGCCTTTCCTGATTCCCAATCGTGGGCACTTCCCCTCCTCAGAAATTATGCCTTATTAACATGGCGGAATGAGAAGACCCGGCAGGCGCTCCCACAAACCTGACACATGCGGTATAAATGCTGTCCGCTAATGTTCTTGTACCTGCTCTGGACTGAGCGCTGGGTCTGTGGCCTCGCCCTAAAAAAGGTAAACCTAGACATCTTCTTGGGAACTGCTTCCCTGGCTGGCGAGCGTGGTTGGGGTCACCACAAAGACTTCTTGGCCCATCTCTCACAGGGCCCCACGAGGCTTCAGGTCCATGCTATTACCACAGTCCCCTCATCGAGTCTCCCTGCTTTCCGTCCTTCCCCTTTCCACTCTCTCCTCAACAGAGCTGACAAACAGCACCCCCTTCAAGAAGTCTGTGGCTCCCTACCGTCTCCAGGATACTAAGAAAACCCTCAGCATTCAGTGTTCCCTATCAGATTTCGGTCCTTCTTTCTGGACTGATTACACATTCCCCCACGCTTACCCCCAACCCAAACATCCTCAGGCCCAGCCCAGGCTCCCAGCTGCTACTTCCTAGACATAAGGCCATGCCAAGCTCACACAAGCTCCCCCAGGTCATCTCCTGTACCGTGGCTGACCCCCACGACTGTATCTGAGGGTGCATCTACCTCCCTGGGCCCCCATGGGCTCATTCCCTTAGGAGAAAGGAAGTACCTGAAGGGACAAGTCCCTCTTTGGCCCCCCAACAGCCCCTGCCTGTTCTCCCGGATGCTGGGGGCTCCCTCCCTCCCTTCACAGTCCTAATCACGGGGTCCCATCCTTGTGGGGAGCCGCTTTCTCCCTCCAACACTGCCAATGGAGACATTTTTCCCCCTTTGCTTTCCTGCCGGGCCCAAACAGCTACTCAGCCCACCTAATGAGTCGGCGTGCCCTTCACCCCTCCCGCTAGGACTGCCTGCCTGCTGGAGGCCTCCGCCTCCTCCTTCTCCTCCTCACCATGGGCTTAACCACGCACGGCCCTCTCCGCTCACAAGCTGCCCTGGCCAGTCCGACATTCATCCCCTTCTGCCTCCTCCCGCCTATGCCACGCGCTATCATATCACTCCATCCCACACTCTGCCTCCCACAGAAGGTCTGCTGGCTGTGCCCTGGGCTCGCAGGCTTGCTCACTCACTCCCTGGCTCCCTCCAGGGCTCGCCTCTGTCCTCCGAGCTCATACCCACTCCTCTACATATACGCTGCATCCCCGGTGCCTCCGTGCACGGGAAGGCGTCACCTGGGACGCGCGGCCTGACGCTGGACTTCCTTCTCCTGGTCTCCCCTACCAAGCGCCCGCCACAGAGTTCCCATTCAGCAAGCACTTGGCAGACACCTCCTAAATCAGTGGGACTGATCTGGATTCCAGAGCTCTCTCTGGGAGGTCCGGAGAATCTCGTCTCACCCTCGTTCTGGAAGCCCAAGGGATGTGCTCCAAGCCACACAGGCGCTCAGCTGCAGAGCAGAACCCCAAACCCCAGTCTCTGCGTCCAGACCTGAGGTTCTCCCAGACACCCCGTTTTAGCTCAACTCCCCATAAACTAATCTTACACCAAACGGCCAAGTTACCAAAAGTACGGGCACTTCTGTTAAGATGAACAAACGGAACCCATATGAATAATCCGAAATTAACTCAGAAACTTTCATCCCAAGAAGGGCTCCCTCGGGCTCCAGAGACCGGGTGGCGCATTACCTGGTGATGTCCAGGGCTTTCTGAACTTTGGCCTGCACGGACCCAAGCAAATCTGCTCCCATTTTCTTCAGCAGCTGAGTCAGCAGCACAAAGAGCCAATCCTGAAGGTTGTCTCTATGCACCTGGAGGAAGTCCACCAGCGTTTCCAGAAACATGCTGAAGACCTAGAGTTGGCAGAGACAGGGATGGTGAGGAAAGAGAAGACAGGGAGGAGGACACACTGACCCTCGGGGCTCAACTCAAAAGGAACCAGAGGCAGACGAGGCAGTGATTGGCAGCCAAGCAGGAAAACAATCTGGCTTGCTTGTCATCGGGCTCTGCGATAGAAGAGGACACCTCACACACGGCCCGACTCGGGCAGAACTTGGACAATTAGCTTCTACTCCATGCAGCATCACTCGAGAAAGGAAACCTCACCATGATGGCTGACACACCCAAGGCCTCCGGGCTGCCAGGGCGGGCCTTCGGCGGACCCCCGTGGACTTGGCCCAAGCTGGCCGACGGTGACCAGACGGGCCGAGACAGGCCCATTCGGGGGCCATCGGAGGCCGTTGACCAGGAGGTGACAGTGGCGATTTGGGCTGGACAGGCTGGCCCCGAGGACTTCCAACCGCATTCGGCTTGGGGTGGGAGGGCAGGAAGAATATGGGAGCAGACAAATGCGGACCTTTAACTACTAGCTAGCTTAAGTGCTAACGAGCTTAGTCCTGAGTCAACACTACATAACTGTCCGGCAATGCCGAGAGGGAAATGGGCCAATTTCAGGTTTTCTGGTGTACGTGGATGTTCAACTTGTTATTTTCTACAACCGACCCAGAGGAATGTTTAGACAGCCTCTATGATAGCCAAATAGATAAAACATGTAATGACCAAGATCAAATGCTCTGGCTAATTTCTAGTAAAGGAAACGTTCCCACGTTTTGAAATGCCGTTAAAAACACCAGAGAGCACGGCTTCGGGGCCGCCTCAAGCTCTGAGCTGATCATGTTTACAGAAAAGGGCCCTGTCATCATTACGTACAAGGCTGATAACATAACACATACTGTAACATGGGACTGTTAATCTTAAATACTTCAGGTGAAAAACTGACGGGTGGGGGTGGCAGAAAGGCAGGCAGCCAGAACTCATCAAGTGTTGAGCCAAACAAGACCTCACAGAGAATCCAGAGAAGTCCACTTTCCTTAGCGTGTTCTCTCTTCCTTAGGATGCACCGGACCACAGCCTCATTAATAAAAAGGACCCACCTGCCTTGGAATTAGGGTTGAGCAAACCAACCTCAGTAGAGACACCTCTGGAAGACAGAGGGCATGGACTTTCTATGGGCACGTCAGTGACTCCTCCCCTAGTGTAACAAGATCTTCCTGAGCACGACTGAGACACACACCTTGCAGACAATCCCTGCCAGGAGACGTCCATAGACACGGACAGCACCAAGAGCGAGCACTGGCCCAGACTATCTCCTCTTGGTCCTGTGGTCTGGGGCTCAGGGCAACAAAGGAAGGCCATTTCCAACAACCATCCTCCCAAACTGGACTTTGCTCCAGATGCCATGACATGCATGGAGCGCTGGGCCAGGAGTCAGCAGGACCTGAGTTCAAATCTGGCCTCAGACACCTACTAGTTGTGTGACCCTGGGCAAGTTCCTGCACCTCTGTCTGCCTCAGCTGTAAAATGGGGCTCCTCCCAGGGTTACCAGGAGGAGAAGATGAGATCCGAACTGTAAAGTGCTTGGCAGAGTCAGTGCCTGGCACGTAACAGGTACTTCACAAATGCCCGTCTTCCTTCCTCCCTTCTCCCTGTCTTCCCATTTCAGAACTTGATCCCTGAGAGCTTTCTGCCCTTCTGTGGGAGAAGACATTGCTCTTTGCCTGAAGCCTGAGCTGGGGGACTCACTCCTCCCAAAGGCTCCACCAATTCACCAGCCGCTGCCAGATTCTAGGGTGGTTCCAATCAGATCCAGAAGACTGGCTCCACCAAGCACCATTTTTGAAAGGGTGTTGGTGCCACGCCCTGGTTTGGGAACTCTTTTTTTTATTTTCCTCTGGGTCCTTTAATAGGAACTGGCTGTACTTCTTTCTTCAACGCTTCCTAGACCGCCTTCTCCACCCGTCCCAGTCCCTCGCCATGGGCATAGCCTTCTGGAAGACAATGAAACAAGCATTTTGAAGTGCCTACTGTGTACCAGGCACTGTGCTAGGCACTTTTTGAAAAGGGATCTCATCTGATGCTCACAACCGCCCTAGGAGGAAGGTGCTGGTGTCATCCCATTTTACAGAGGAGGAAATGAAGGCAGACAGAGATGAAGCAACTTGCCTAGGGTCCAGACCCACCGCTAGTGTCTGAGGCCAGGGGTACTTGGGGGTCCCTCTTCCATAGCTCTCCTGCCTCCAGCGCCTTTGGCTGATACTCGGAGGCCAGGCAATCTAAGGTACTTCCCCATCCCCACTGTCCTTCCTAAAATTAAGCACCTCCCTCTGGACAGGCCCGACCACGGGGTGCAGGTTGGCCTTGGACAAGGCCATTAAAGGCCCAGATCTTTTCCAAAGGATCTCCTCCTGCCTCTCCCATCTTGGACTCCCCACAGATCCCTACCTGACTCCTTCCCCTCATATTCGGCCCAAACAGAAACAAGGGGTCCACGGATCTGTCCAGAAGGCGTCCTGCAGGAGACTGCAGACGGACTTCATTTTAAAGTGTCATCTTACCTCTGTTTTGTTTTATTTCTTTTGCTAACTATCCCCCCGCCTCACTTCTATCTGATGGGCTGCTCTCCAGGGCATGGCAGCCTGCCTCTGACACCCCCATCGGGGTCTCTCTGGACCCTGCCACCCTCATCCCACTGGTGTGGTCATCTGCAGATGGATGGACGTGCCATCTCAGACCTCATCAAGGTCCCTGGCTCTTTGAGCTCTTGGTCCCCTGGATCGATCCAATAACCCATTCGGGCGACAGGGTTTACTGACGTCTGAGTGACCGCAGGGCCATTCCATCCTCGGGAGGTCCCGACAAGATCGCTCACTGACTAGCAGCCAGTTCTGAGGTTCCCAGGGCTTCTTGCCTCGTACGCCTGGGCCCGTCTGACACCACAACGGGAACGTCAGCGGAGCCCGCCTGCTGCTCACCCATGTGCTGCCAATGTCCGAGATGCCTGACCAGAAGAGCAGACCTCAAGTTCTGAGTTTTTCGACCTGCCCTCCATCTTCACTTCACTGCTGCTACTGGCCATTGGCAAAGAAAGAAGCAAACGTGTTTGGCTGAGCAAGTCGGGCTGTTTTATTTCCTAAGATAAAACTAGCAATTCTTTGTCTAGAGATGACCACGTACTGTCTACCTCATACTGGAGTCTATACTGTCAGGGGAGGCATTCGCTTACTGAGGACTGAGGGGTAAGAGGCAGAAAGGAGGCAGCCTCCGAGCCAGCCAGCCCAGCGCCTCGCCATCAGGCCCAGAGGCGTTCAGGGACGCCCACGGGCACACGGCACCGAGGAGCCGCTGATCTGGCACCGTTCCCCTGCACAGCGGCAGCCCCTTGCGACTGACGGGCACAGGCTGCCCAGCTAAGGCCGGGGGGTGGGGGCGGGGGCCGGGGGCCGGCCGCTTTAGGTGTGCCAGCCATCATCACATCGAGGACAGAAGAACAGACCCCAATTGCGTCAGTTAATTAGTAGATGAGAAAAGCACATCTCCAGACAGACCCACAAGGTGTGCACAACTGTACAGAGAGTTGCATAAATCGCAACAGGTCTGACACTGCATGAATCTTTGGGAGAGAAAAAGTGAGAGAGAAGAAGGGTTAATGTCATCATCATGCAGCAGAGTTAGGTTTCCAACAAATATGAACCAACTTACTCTCTACCGAGAGTTCCGACACAGGAGACAGCATGCAAAAAGAAAAGGAAAAAAAAAGAAAAACACACACATTAGTTGCCATCAATGCAAAGTCCCTGTGTGGAAGAAAACACAGCAAATCAAAGACGGCAAATGTGGTCCTCCAAAAGCTCATCATTAACCTGGCCCTCTCTTCTGCCAGGAGCCGGGGACAGCCGGGGAGGAGAGCCCAAACCTTGATTCCTGGCAAAGCCCCCGGTGGTGGCGGCAGCGGTGGCGGCATCTGCCCATGGGATCCTCCGCGGGGGAGCCCTCTCTGCCCAGCTCTGCATGGGCAGTTGGAGGGCCAGGAAGAAAGCCAGAAACCTTCCTTCCCAACTGCACACTTATTTTATGCATTAAAAAACCCCAGACTTCCCCAGAGGGTCCCCGACCAGTGAAAAGTGAAATGACTGGCCCCAGGTCACAGGAGTAGGTCGTCAGAAGGAAGCTGGCTCTCTACCCTGCGATGCGGACCCCTCCTCTGGAGCCTGACAAAATAACCTTGACAAGTTTTCTGGTTTAAAATGAACTGACAGGCAGCCCAGAGCAGCATAAATGAACGTCGTTACTGCTGTACACTATTTTTGTTCGTTTTGTTCAGCATTTCCAACGACATTTTAATCTGATTCAGGCTAGTTTTGGGTCTCCCCCCCCCGCTGTGGGCTGTGCCCCAGACTGTTCCTAACCCTGGCCATTCCTACAGCGAAGATGCGGTGACTGGGGCATGTGTGGCCGTCGCCCCTCATAGGCCCAGTGTCAACAGGCAGAGGGAAAACCGCAGCTTTACACAGGACCTGTTGGTCAGCTGAGCATCTGCAGGGCATCTGCAGACAGGAGGTGGGGTAGAGCCTTTCACCGAGGAGCTAGATGCAAGCAGACATCCTCCCCCACCTCGTCTAGGCCCCTGACCGTACTCAGAAAAGCTAGGCAGCTGTTGAACCCCGAGGCCCCGCCGCTCTTCCCCAGGAGGAGGGGGTTCTGCTCCATGGGGCCAATAGGAGGATGGGGCCAGTAAGAAGCTCTCTGTGGGGAAAGGGCACCCCTCGCCCCCCATCCAAGTTGGAGGTTCCTGTGTTGGCCCGCTGCTCTGCCACAGTAAGGGACAGGAATGGAGCTGGCTGGCAGAGCAGTAAAGGTCCATGGGGTGGGATACAGATCTATACACACACACACACACACACACACACACATCTATCTATCTCTATATGTTTATAACTATATATATACACACACATACATACACACAAATGCATTTATGCATACGTGTGTACATTTATGCACATGTGTGTGTGTGTGTGTGTGTGTGTGTGTGTGTGTGTGTGCTGGGACAGCTAAGTGGTCCAGGGGATACAGCTCTGGGTTTAGTTCAAATCCTGCCAGAGACACTTGACCCTGGGCAACTCACTTCACCACCATGTGCCTGCCTCATTTCCTCACCTGCACAATGAGGACAATAACAGCACCTTTGCAGGGCCGCGGCGAGCCTCAGATAAGGTAAGAACTGTAAAGCGCTCAGCACAGGTACGTAGGAATCACTCTATAAATGCGCGCTGTTATTACTGTCATATATAATACATATGATCATGCATTACATATGCATGTATAATTTATATTCACACATGTAATGCACAGACAGAGAGATCTCTGTCTCACTCGTGACTTCTTAGGCCTTTTATTAAGGTTCACATGTGGAACGGGCATAGAGCGCTGCACCTGAAGTCTGAATCTCACCTCAGACACCGGCTACCTCCCTCTCCCCTCTGTGCCTCAGTTTCCTCATCTGCAACACGGGGATAAGAACACAGCCTCGCCCCAGGGCTGCCGGGGGGGCTCAGAGGACACAATCTGAGCTAAGGGCCTGACCAGGGCCAGAGTCAGCGCCTCTCACTGTCGTCAAGAAGGGCCCCCCGTTGGTGTTCCTTGTGAAGACATGGCGGCCCAGGACCAAAAGAGGGGCGGAAGAGGGAAACACAGCCGGCTGGCGCGACGGCCGCCAGAGCCGGAGAGGAGGGGGAGGCGCACCTCCATCTTCCTGACCCCACGACAGCTCGGTCCTCATGACTGAGACCCTGACACGAGGCGAGGAGCAGTGCCTCATCAGGGAGGCCACAGAGTCCCCTTCTGAGAAGTCCTCAGCCCAGGACGGCCGTCCCCCGGACTCGCTAGCAATGCCTTCCCTCTCCCTCGGCTGGGCGCCCCACTTGGCCTTCCTGCCTGGCCTGGGGCAGCCTGTGAGGGCCAAGGATGCTCAGAGCTCTCAGGACACACCAACAGGTCACGGCAGGCCAGGGCCACTCTCTCTTCTCTTGATCCTCATCCCCATTCAAGAGGCGATGATGAATCTCCTTTTGAAAACTAACTTTTGGTTCTGGTTTAAAAAAAGAATCCTGCATTTCAGCCTCTCTCCGTTATTGATGACCCGAAGTGCGCTGCATTACTTCTAGAGTGAAATGCTCCCTCACAGAAGAAGACGGAAGGCTGCTAGGAAGGGTGGCTCGGGAGCCCCAGAGCGCCCACGCTCATGTGGACAGGGGCCCGTTCCCCACTTTGGCTTTGGAAGGGGCGCTTCTTGTGAAAGGGCGTGCACCTCTGGAAGGGACGTTCAGAAGAAAACGAACCTTCCAAGAAGGAACTTGAGAGAGGAAGTCGTCTGTGCCACTGACTGGTCAAAGGGCCGAAAGCTTCCGCTGGGCCATCGCCTGCCCTCTCTAAGGGACACGTTACACACAGAGATAAGGGACAGGGAGGATAACACATAAAAACGGTGAGGGAGCCTGGGACGCGAGTGAAGGCGATGGGGAGGAAGGCCAGAGACCGGCCAGGGACATCTCATGAAGGGGCTGTGGCCATCCCCGCCCCACAGCCTGGCTCCTCCCGTCAAAAACATGGTTAGAAACATTTCACAGCAACGAGAAAAGTCCATGCCCGAGGTCCGGTTCTGCCCTGGCTTTGTAGGTCTGACTGCGGACTCATGTGGGTTTTGTGCCAGAAGAGAGACACACAGACAGACAGACAGACAGAGAACGGCTGCTTCCCGTCAGCTACTGGGGTCGGCACCCCCCACCCCCCATGTGGGCAGCAGTGCCGGAGGCCGCACTGGCCACTCGGGCTTTTCAGTGCTCGTGTAGACAAGCTAAGCAGGTGAGGGGCTGTGGCATCAGACTTACCTTGCTGTGAGGGTCAGCGAACATCCTGGTGAAGATCTCACACAATCTTTTCAGCTCGACACGACTAGCAAAATGACAAAGAGCTGAATTAATGACCAGATGGAATTTCAAGAAAACATTTGAACCCTGCCTTCAAAAGCGTCACTAGGCCATGGTTTGCTGACCACCACACTGCACAGGGCCCAACAGGCGTGAGGGATGGGGTGGGATGGGGGAGGTGGTGACGGTGAGGAGTGGGCAGCAGAGGGGGTGTGGGCATGAGCGCGAGGGTGACTGACACCTGGGGCTGGACACGGGCAGCGTCCATCCTGGGGGGCAGGTCACACACCAAGGACCCCGTGCCAGCCCGGCCTGTGCCTTCTGCCAGGCAGATTTCGTCCTCCATGCTTTTTGTTGCACTGACCACATCCCCAGGACTATCCAGGATCCCAGAGCTTGGGGTCAGTTCCTCTCCAAAGGGGATTTGGGGCAATTTGGACTGATCCGCTGACTTCACTGGGCTGGGTATCTGGCTTTTCTACGCCAGTCCCTGCCTTCAAAGAGTCCAAGGTAAAAAAGGGACTGGAAAACCCCCAGGCCCCCGGGAGACACCGCCATGCAGAAAGCTCATGCGGGGCCTGGAGTCAGCAAGGCCTGAGTTCAAATCCAGCTTCAGATCCTTCCTTCCTAGATCTGGGGCCCTTCACCATGCCAGCCTCAGCTTCCCCCGCTGTAAAACGGGGGTAACGGCAGCATCTCCCTGCCAGGGTAGCCGCGAGGACCCAACGAGGTGGTATTTGCCTTCTATCAACGCGCACTATGATGGTGAATTAAACTGAGAAGGATGGGCAGAAGAGTAACGACTAAGCACGGATTCCGGGAGGTGCGTGAGAAGGAGCAGTGACAGGAGGGAGGGAGCTGCGGGCAGCTTGGGGGGTGGGCAGGGAGCCAGGGCAGGCGCTGGGCAGCAGTGCCCAAAGGCAGCGACTCTGGGGCCCCTGGGGCCCCCTCACCTCAGCGTCCGCTGGCTCCTGAGCAGGCTCTGAAGGCCCAGCAGGCCTTCCTTCCTCTCTGACCAGTTGGCGCTGGCACAGCGGTTCAGCACCTCGGCCACGTCCTCCGTCTGCCGCATGTAGGTGGGGATGCTGCCGTTCCGGGAGCTGTAGGAGCGCTCAGAGCAGGCGCTAGAGGCGTCACTGTTGGCGTCGTCGTCCGAGTACATGCCGCCGCCGTAGAGTTCATACCGCCTGCGCGCGGGCTTTTTCTGGGCATGGCAGGGCTCAGCGTGAGGAGCTGCGTGTGGGGGACTGGCCACGCCCACACCCACTCCGAGGCCCTTCCGATGGGCAGGGGAGGGAGCTTGCTCCCCAGGGCATCTCCTTCACCCCTGCTCCCTCTCCTTGAGGACCGAGGCCAGGAAAGTTCCCGATGGCCAAGGGCCGGCCTTGCGTCCATGCCCTGGCACGCTACGACCCCCGCCCCTCCAAGCCAAGTGGGCTCACAACCGAACCATTCCTGTACGTCAAACTGGGCTGGCCCGAGAAACCCGCTCTTGGCCTTCCAAGTCAGAGTAGGAAGAGAACACGGAAAGCTTCCTCTAGACCGAGGGCACGGGACCTGCGACCTCGAGGCCACGTGTGGCCCTCTGGGTCCTCAAGTGCGGCCCTTTGACTGAATCCAAACTTCACGGGACAAATCCCCTTCATCAAAGGATTGGTTCTGTAGAACTTGGACTCAGTTCAAAGGCCCCAGAAGGCCACATGTGGCCTCAAGGCAGCAGGTTCCCCACCCTGCTCTAGACTCTCTAAGACAGGCTGTGGCACTAAATCTATGCTGAATTTAATTTGTGTGGGGAGAACTCTATGAAAGTGGTGGATGGCAGCCCCACAACACTTCCATGAGCTACCACGAGAGTCATGGGCAAGAGGTCCTGCCTCAATTGGGAGAATGTTAAATTAGAACCAAGCCACAGAGTCAAAGGGTCACGAGACTTCCCAGGAACTATCTGAACTGTTCTGCCTTCTCTTTCCCCAATCTGCCAGTGGAGCGGGAGTGGGGCCGTACTCCGTGGGCCAAGAGATGGCCCAGCTCCCTCCTGGCTCTCCATCGCTTTCTGTGCCTCTGTCCTCAAGTCTAGGGTTCTGATCCTGCCTGGGCACCAAGTGTGACCTGACTTGCATGTCTCCTCTTTTGTCAGAGAGCTAGCTGAGAATGTGGTGCATAGATACTGCACAGACAGAGAAACATGGTCACAAAAGGGGAATAAACAGCCATTTATCTACCTTGGTCCGCATGTCTCCTAAGAGCTGAGAGCAGTGAATTATCAGAGAGAAAAATGGAGAACAGTGAGAAGACACCCCTGTTAGCCCTCCCTTCCTTCAACAACACAGGCTCCCCGACACAGGGCCGGCCCCGGAGGGCAGGCAGCCACAGCAAACACCTCCTCGAGAAGTGGGCCCGGCTGCTGACCCCTCCCATGTCTAATGCCGAGCCCTCAGGAGGCACGACGGGGCTGGGTCGGTCATCTGTGACCGGTGGGGGCAGGACATCTCCCTTCCACTGGACTCCATGGAAACTCCCAAAGGGTTCTGTGGTCTCCTTGGGACGCGGGACCAGGGGCATGCCCGCTCTATGACCCAACAGGCAAAGGAAGGACAATGTGAGTGCCGGAGGCGTGCGAGAGAAGACGAAAGCTTCTCTCTCCCCAGAGACGCCTGCACACTCCCAAAGCCACAAGTCTTCGACACAGTGAGAAGAGGCTAAAGCAGGCTTCGGGACAAACAAAACGAAACACGTCCTACACAAATCCTGACAGGGCGCTTCGGGCCTCTGCCCCGGGGAACCTTCGCCCCCACGAGCTCGGGAATTTTTCTTTCTTCCTTTTAGCAGTAACTGAAACTTCCCCCCAGACAATGGCCCGTCCCCATCGGGCAGGGGACAGGTAGGTCCCCAAGCACCAGAGTAACTAAGAGAGAGGCAAGGGGCGTGCTTACCAAGGCGTCGGCGACGGCCTCTTCCACGTCGGAGCCCGTGTTCAGGACACGCATGGCGCTGACAGAGGACGACAGGCGGCTGGACTGACTGATCCCGTAGCCCGTCCCTGCCGCGACAGAAGGAAGCCGAGTGTCACACCCACCCTCGGAGCCAGGGTGTGGGGTTTGGAAGGCCATGGGATGGACAAGAAGCACAGGAAAAATGAGGGAGAAACAGCAGTTCAAATGGAGCCTGTGTGGAGAGCCGCGGGGGTCAGGAGCCGCATCCAGGGAGGCCGGCCTCCTCTCTGAGCTGCCCAAGCCGCGGGCCTGACATCATGTGAAGTGCTGTTGAGAGGGGAAGCCCGGGCCCCCGACAGGAGGCCGCCCTGGTGGGGACGAGCGCGGGTGCGCGTGGGTGTGCGTGTGTGCGCGTCTGTGTGCGTGTTCCAAGCAAGCACATGAAATGGACCACAAACATACATCTCGATGTTAGAAAACGACATGCAGTGGGAAAACCAAGAGTCTACACATGATGGGACAGACAAGAAGAGAGGGAGAAGGGCCCCGAGAAGGCAGCGCCCCAAATGACCACTCTACGTAGGGGGATTCTCTAGCGCAAGGACCGAATGGAAAGAAATCAATCAGGGTCTGGGAAAACGGGGTGGGGTGGGGTGGGGTGGGGATGATTCAACGGAAATTCAGTTAGAACAAAAGCAAGATGGCGGCAGAGCCGAGAGCCAAGGTACTCATCCTTCACCTGTGGCCCCGCAAACATCGGGGGTGTAGAGGGCACCTGTCGATCTGGAGTGATGCCTGGAAGCTGGAATAACAGGACCACACAAAGCCTGCCTGTTACCACAGGAACAGAGCGGGGGCCGTGCAAGCAAGCGAGGGAACGAGCTGGGGGGGCCCAGAGACCCTCTGTCCACAGGCATGAAGCCTTTGGGTGGGGGGCAAGGGAAGGCGGGGAGGAAGGCCGGGGCCCAGACCCTCCCCCTCCAGAGGGGCTTCCCTGAACGCCCTCCCTGCTCTCTCCTGGGTGGGCAATTACTTTAAGAAGAGGCATTTCCCACAAAATCCAGGCTACTGTCCTGAAACATATCTGGCCACAACCCTAAAAAATGTTTGTTTTGAAAACGGCAGCACGATAGACACTGGGACAAGCGCCCATTCAGGCAGCATTCTGAAATGCCCGTTGTAAAAACAGGAAGAAATTAATTTGCTATTTTTCCCATTAGCTCTGTCCTTCAAAAGGCAAAGTCAAGAAAATCAGACACTTTAAAAACTCTAAGCTTTAGCAGGCCTAATTTTAAAACCAAATTAAAAAAAACATATATGTGGCATTTGATTTGCAAGGAAAAAGTAGGAAATCTTTTTTTCACTCCACAGTCAAGTTTCAGCTCAAGAACCCTAAAGCCACAATGCATTTTCTGTAGATGAAAGAGTGTCCGTCCAGATGGGAATCAGATCACATTTCTCCACGCTCTGGACATGGATCATGTAGCCACATGTTCCTTCCGGGGCTCAGGCCAGAAAGGAAAACTCTCCAGCCTGGATGGGTCAATTACCCAACGTCACTCTGTTGCCTGCTCCCACCCCAGGCCTCACCACAGAGGGCTCTGAATGAGGAGGATGACTACGGGGCAGCAGGAGGAAGCAGCTTCCTGGCTAAGTTTGCAGAGAACTCAATCCGTGGGCACAGCGGCCGTGGACCTGCTATTTCATCGGGAGGCAGCCACTCTGGGCACAGCTCTCCCCAAGGGGGGCCCGAGGGCCCAGACCTGCCTAACCCTAAATGTGCCACTCCGGGCACAGCTCTCCCCCAGGGGGGTCCAAGGGCCCAGGCCTGCCTAACCCTAAATGCGCCACTCTGGGCACAGCTCTCGTCCAGGTGGGCCCCAGGGTCTGTGCCTGCCTAACCCTAAATGCCTTGCTCCCTGCACAGCTCTCCCCCAGGTAGCACAGGGGCCCAGGCCTGTCTAACCCTAACCCATCTACACCAGTCCCTGGTCCTAACTGCCTGCAGGGAGTGTCTGGGGCAGAGTGATCGGGGCAAAGCAGGACAAGAGCAAAGTTAGTGCCTCCTCCAGACGTAGAAGGCAGAAAACAGCCCTGTCTAGGAGGCTCAGATGGCCGGCCCTCTCTTCCTACAGAAGGGGCCTCCCTGCACAGCACCCCAGAAGGGCAACAAATCCTAACAACACTTGTTAAGGAAAAGGAAACCACTTCTTTCTATCACAAGCCAAATTCAGAAGTCATACAAGAATCAGAAAAGTCATGGGCATCCAGTACACAAAGAACCAATCCAAGCTTGGCAGGAACGGCCAGCCTGAGTCTGTCTACACTTTGGGGTGGGGAGGGAGGCTCCCAGGTGAGAGTGGAGGAGCACACCTGCCTCCTCCTGGAGCTTCTGGCACCCACGAGTGGAAGAAATGGAAGATGGGCACAGCAGAGCCCCAGCGTGAGCCAGCTGAGGAGGGGCATGTTTGTCGTGTTAATAGCAATTGTGGGATTTTAGACCCAAAGTGTCTTAGAGGAAAAACCCGAAGGGAGTGAAGGGGGAGCTCTGCTTACACCACCCTGACTCCCGCACACACACGTGCACACGCTTGCAGTGAGCTCTCTTGTCCCTTCCTAACCCTCGTCCCCTCTCTCCTTTGACTATGACGGAAAGCGATCGTGGGGATCGGTGGACCTGCGCTTTCCACACGTGGCCAGGAAGTGTGAAGGCAATGCCGCAGGCATTCCCATGTCCCTGAAGCTGCTTCTCAAGAGAGACAGCATCGGAGTTCACTTTCAGGTGCCCCTGGGACCCGAGCACAGGGGATGGCAGGGTTCGGACCCTCACTCAGTCAGAACTGGCTGGCTCCTTCGGTCTGTGAGGACCCCCAGACTAGGGCCATCAGAACACCTTGGACGCAGCACTTTTCAATGCCCAGAGATGCCAAGCCACGTTCTTCTGGCCTGACCACGGCCTCGGGACTTACTAGAGGGCAGGGGAAGGCCGGAGCCGTTGACTTGCTATGGGTCATACAGGGAGCTGAGACCAGCATGGCTTTTGAGGCCTCCCCCATGGTGACGCTGGAAATGGAAGTCAACGTGGTGCATTGGGGCTTATCGTCCATCTGGGGCAGCAGAGGGCAGGACAGAGTCACCAGAAAATCCTGGACAACGCTGGCTTCCCTCCACACCCCAGAGACGGACACGAGGGCATCAGAAGAGGCCTCTGGCCTCCTCAGGGACCGGCGGCACTGCGGGGGATGAGAGGGAACAAGCAGTGCCCACCATGGGCCAAGCCCCGATACGGTAATGGGAGACGGATGAGACGAGGTGAGTGAGGGCAGAACAGGCCATGCCACCGCGAGTCGCCAAGTACTCACCCAGGGGCTGGAAAGAGCGGACCGGACTCGTGTCCCTGCTGCTCTCCCGACTGGCCTCGCGGCTACAGCCCTGACTCACGCTGGGGCGAGGGATGCGACTGCCTCGCGCTGTGCCCACGGACCGGCACGACGGGACGGAGGGACACAAGAAAAGATGTTCTTTAGTGTGTGGTCCCTGAGGATTGCTCCGGGCGGCCTCCAACCAGCTCCTAGGCTGCGTCTGTTGAGGGGGAGCCCTCCGATGTCCCTCGGCCCACCCCGCCGGGGCCTCTGAGAGTCACCTAGAAAAGGGCTCCTCGCCCCAGGACCGAGGCCACGGCCCCATCATCTCTGTCCAAAGTCTGCAGGGAGCAGCACCCGCTGGAAGGGAGAGGCAGGCAAAAACCTGACTGCTTTTGATAAAATTACACATTTCCGGGCAAACCCAAGACAAAGTGGTTGGCTGCTCGGTTGGGCCAGTAACTTAAAGGTCTGCTTCCAAACAAACCCTTAAAATCCAGAGCAAGGCAGGAAGATAACAGACAGGGCCACAGAAACATAAGGGAAGCTGGTGAAGCGCGCAGGCACTCAGCAGGATGCTGGGCCCAGGAGAGCCCTTGGGAAAGCACGAGGGAGACAGAGAGGGCCAGAGGGCACGCGGCAGGCCTTACCTACGGAGAGGCGAGAAGGGCTAGCCTCTCGGCTACAGCCCTGGCTCCGAGGGATCTTGCTTCGCTTCTGGGCCGACGCGGGACTGACTAGTGCTCTCTGAACGCCTGAGCTCACGGTGGAGAGCGCGGTGCTGGTTAAAACTCTTCCTGGGGACCCCGAGCGACTGCCAGCTAAACAGTGGAAAACAAGACATGAAAGGAGGCACAGGAAGTTTCCAAAGTGGTAGGAAGTTATGGGAGGACGAGTGGGATGGCCCACCAAGGAGGAGACAAGAAGCTGGTCAGAGCGTGGGTGAGGAAGCCCCGGGGTTCCCCTGGGTGCCTTCCCCAGGCAGCCCCAGCGCACAGGACACCCGGGAGATCCGATCGTCCGAGGACACAGTCGAAAAGCCCCCTCGCCTCCCGATTTGTGAAGCTATTCTAAGTGTTGTGGGCAGGGGGCAGGGGCTCTGACGGAAAAGTGAGAGCCCATGGAGAGCGATGGGAGTCCGGCCACTGAGGAGGCTAGAGAAGAGGCACCCGTGCATCGGGGCCTCCTACCCCAAAGGAATTCTCCCTGGGATGGAGCAGAGAAGCAACCGTCCGGCCTCTGCTCAGGGGCCCCCAAAGAAGGGTGGCTGTTCCCCACTGGGACAGCTCTCCTGCCCTGCCCCATCTCCCAGGCCTGAACGCTGGGACCCAAGAGGGTGTGAGCCTCCCTCTAAAGGAACACCATTCCAAGACAGCTCCGCTGAGTCTTCGCCTCTACCTGCTCAGACGTTTCCCGTTCCTTCGGCCAGTCCGGGCCCTGCACCACCCCAGCCCTCTCTACTGCCCATGCCGCTCCCGAGGAGGGCTGAGGAAGGCCTGTGCCCTCTGAGCACAACCAGGGCTGGCGGCCCCTCAGGCCTCTGCCAACAGGGCCCACGTCAGCTCAAGAATTTACCTCTAAGACACTCAAAGTTTCTTATTTATTCAGCCCCATGCCCTCGGCTACCAAGACTCCCGAGGAATCAAATTCACCAGCTGTTAGCACTACCTCCAAGCTTTGTGTCATCTGTAAAGCAGACCTGTGAACCTTCTCGGTTGGGGTCTTTCTCCAATTCACCGACAAAAACAGGAAGTAGCCTTGGGCAGTCCTGCCAGGCTGACGGTAAAAAGGAGTCTGGCCGCCCAGAGAGGTCCATGTGCACGTGTGGGACAAAGTCATCAACTATCTCCCTAATAACTCGTTCAAGAGTTCTCCCAGGATCCAAGTCCAGATCCCAGATGGAGGATCTGCACTCTCCCTCCCTTCTTTTTCTCCCATCTCTCTCTCTTCTTTCTCTGTCTCCTTCTTCTCTTCTCTCTCTCTCTCTCCTCCCTTTTTTTCCTTTTTCTCCTGCCTCTCTCTTCTCTCCCCTCTCCTCTTCTCTCCCTCTCTTCCCCTTCTCTCTCTCCCTCCCTCCCTCTCTTATCCCCCCTCCTCTTTGTCTTTCCTTCTTCTCTTCTCTCTCTCTCCCTCCACCCATTCTCCCTTCTCTCTCCCTCTCCCTTTTTCTCTGGCCTCTTTCTCCTTTCTCTCCCTCCCTTCCCCCTTCTTTGTCTCCCTCCTTCTTTTCTCCCCTCTCCCTCCCTCCTTTCCCTCTCTCCCCCCATGCCCCTCTCACTCTCTCCCTCCCCCTTCTCTCTCCTCCCCCCAAATGGGGCCGCTGGTTGTTCTACAGCCTCATGCAGCCCCCTCCTGTTTTCTATGACCTTTCAGCTATCACAAACACTGATCAGCTGGCGCCTCTTGGACACACGGATCAAATCCATCCGTTCTGTGGACAACAGCGAGCAGCACTGACATGGCGCTGCACTAAGCGCTTTACAACTATGAGCTCATGCGATCCTCACCATGATTCCCACTCTATAGCTGAGGAAACTGAGGCAGGCAGTGTTGGTTAAGTGGCGTGCCCAGGGTGACAGCTAGGAGCACGTGTCTGAGGCTGGACCCGAGCTCAGGTCCCCCTAACTCCAGGCCTGCCCGCTGAGCCCAGGGGCGCCCCCGATGCCACGTCCCCTTACTGACATCGGGCACTGACTTTCTGCTGCTCATTGTTGTTCCCAAGATCATTCCCCTCGTGGAGAAAAAGGACGCAAAGTGTGCGTGGAGCGGCCTAGGCCCTCCTTCTGGAGCCCTCTGTCTCTGTCTCTGTCTCCCCTGGGGCGGGGAATAGGCAGGTTACAGGTAGAGTCCCTGCCCCCATCTTGGCAGCTTAACCTCTTCTGGAGTGATTTGAAAGATCCCTGGCCAATACGTTATTACCAGCCCTTTCTGGACAAGAATACGGCCAACCTGCCCGATAGTCTAAGCCAGTTGGCCAACTGCCCAATTCATTTTTCTCTTCCACATCCTTTGCCTTCGATGAGCATCTGGGCTGCCGACTGCCCAAGACTTCCTAAAATTGCTGCAGACTGGGAGCATCATCTCAGAAGTCCCCGTCTCTCTGTCTGTCTCCCACCCTTTCTGGATGAGTCTGGGATACGTGGCCAGGGAGGCCACCGAGCCTGAGCAGGGCAGGGGCCAACAACGGACAGAATGCTGGGAGGTCAGACATTTGGGCCAGGCCCTGAAGAAGCACTTATTCTCTCCCCCATCTCCATGTCTTCCCACAATCTGTCCCAGCCCCAGCCAGGCCTGGCCAGCTACCTTCTCCTTCTCCAGCTGGTCCTCCAGCCTCTTCTGTGCTCTCTAATGGGCCTAGACCCCACTTCTCCCACGCCAGAAAGGAGAGTGTTCTCCGAGCTGTCCTCCATTTGTCCTCTCTCTGAGCCAATTTCTTCTCCTTCAGATCAATGCCTGACCACCTTCCCTAGTTCCAACCCACCCTGTCCCCTGCAGGGTTCTCCTTTTCCAGATCAATCAGGCTCTTTCTCCCTCTTCCCCTCCTTTCCATGGAAGCAGGAAGCACCTGCATCTTCCAACTCTGAGATTTTAAACTGCCGGGGGTTAAGAATACACGAAGACGCACACTGCCCTTTACAAAGCCCCAAGCAGGATGAAATGTGGTCCAGCCTCCCCCCCCAGAGGGGTTGGTCCAAAGGTGTCTTCCCAAGTTCTTGGCATTTTACGTGGTCCCCCCCATGCCACCGACTGTCCCAGAACAGGCAGAGCCATGTTTCTTTTCCAGCAGATTCTAGTTGTTGGAGATGAGGCCACAGCATCCCCACAAGGGAAGAATCCCTCTGTGGACAGGTAGGGTAGGTGCCCCCTGAACTTGGTGATTCTGGGAAGGCTCCTCTCACAGCATCCCCTCCAGGCAGAGGCTTTTCCACGGAGCTCCCCGCCACACGCACGTCCACGGACCCTTCCCTCCCTCAGCCCCCTGGCCATAGGCACACGATGGAGAGCGTTATGGGCACAACCTGACTGGATGCAGACCAGACACAAGTGAGGCACAAGGCACATGGCAGACAGTACGACGTCAAGGCTGATGTTACAAACGGCTCTATTCAGCAGAGACACCACCAGGCAGAAAGCTCTGGAGCCCAGACCCTGCTGAGAACAGAGCAGATGTTCTCTGGGTGGTGGCTCTGTCGGAGGCTGGGATGGGGGGGGGTGGGTGTCTTCCCTGGCTCCCAAACAGCCCCAGGCCAGCGGGGGCCCCAAGCGACAGTAACTTTGCTTACAGCTGCAGTAAGAGTGTCCCCTCGGGGAGTCCAGGCCCTCCAGGCCTCTCCTGGACCTTCCCACCTTATCAGCCAGTGAGCCAGGGGCAGAATGCCGCCTCAGCTGGCCACAAGGCTCACTCGAGGGCCGTTCTAGTGAGCTGAGCACCAGGGGACGGCATCTGTGCGGTGCAGAGGCAGCCGGGGCCCCGGGGCAACCATGCCAGGAGCGTCAGTGATGGGATCCCCAGCCAGAAGACCGTGCCTGCAGCCCAGCCTGGGGCTGAGGGTCAAGAGGCCCAGGGCTTACGGGGGTCCTCCCTGACCAAGGCCCAGCGATGGTCACGAGGAGGGAGGGCTAGGGCTTCTGCTGAATAGAGCGCTCTCTGGGAGATGCAAATGGGTGACGGAAAAATGCATGCGCACATCCAGGCCCTGGGTTCTTACCGCCCATGGGGGTAGCCGACTGGGATCCTTAGCGGGCGTGAGAGGGAGGGAGCAGAAGCAAAGCAGATTCAACACAAACAGCAAACGGGAAAGGAACGCTTCAGTCAGTTCACGCCAGCAACGACGGCCAGACCGCCAGAACAATGCCCCCGCCCCACAGGCGCCCCCGGCTCTCACGGCCAGGCTGAGGAGATGCTCGGGGACAAGGCAGAGGGGCCCACGCCACAAAAGACGGCCTCCCGGCTTCATCCTTTCAGCAGCCGACCCGGACGGCCTCGAAAGGATGAAGGCAGCCAACATGCAGTGGACGGACTCGTTCTTAGGAATGGCGGCGGTCACAGGCCGACGAGGCTTCGAGAACTCACGAGGGAAAAAGCCCAGCCCCACTGAACGAGGCACTATCACGAGAACACGGGCCCAGGCCCCATTCAGGCACCCGGGCACAAGGGAGTCTGGGGCTCATCTACGGAACCGCCTCCAGCCCCAGCCCCGGCCCCGCCCCCACCCCGCCCCCGGCCCCGTCCCTTGCCCCCCGCAGGTCTTCTCACTCCCATCCCCTTTTACTTCTCCGAGGCAACAATCCTAACACACACCTGCTTCGATCCAAGAGATCCGATGGGATTTTTCTTAATGGTGACGTAAAAAACATGGAAAAACCAAGCATTATGCTCCAGTGGGACTGGAGAGCAGAGACTCATGCATCGGTGACCATGGGTCACAGCAAGGGGTATTCCCTGAAGGGTTTTGGGAGTACAAACATGGTCAAACAAACCAGAAAACCCCCAACACCCACCAGCCCCGGGCCTTTGGGGAACCGGTTTTCAATGTCACAGACTGAGCTGTGGTCCAGTAAGCAGAAGGTCCCCTCCAGAGGAGCAGAGCCTGACCCGAGCCTCCCCTCAGGGCCCTAGCTCCCTCAGCCCAGACGAGAGCCCCTCCCCTGATGGGGGGCTCTCCTGGGAAGTATGTGGATCCCAATTCAGAACTTGAGGCTGCCTTCCTCAGCTTTCCTTCTGGACTCCCTCACCTGCTCCTTCAACAGAGCAGGGCGGGTACCCTTCTTTCACGTCATTTGTCAGGGAACGTGCAGTCGGCAGAAGCCGCCAATGGGGGCTCATTTTCTGGACTAGAAGGTTCGTGTACACAGCAGGGTCACCAGCTTGGCTTTCCAAGGGCATCTCTGGCTCCCCGGTGTCTAGCCAGGACGTTCTACATCCATCGCAGGAGTTCGGGGGTAGAATGTAAAAGCCAGAACTCGGGCCATCTAAAGAGGGGCTTCTTTCCTGGGCAAGCCCGAGTGACCATGGGCTACCAACACTTGGTCTCCTCAGGCCCATTGGTCAGCAGAATCTACTGGGGTCCATTCTACATGTGCTCTCCATGAGATCACAGATGGTGCCCTCAGGTTTAAATTGAGGACAGATTTTGGATGGGGATGTGATTGGGCCTCAAGACAGTTGGTCCTGTCTGGCTACCTAGAATCTGAATTCTTATTTCTAATATTTTTCCTTCAGCCACATAAAAAGCCAGACAGTCTCAGTCTACAGCAGGGTCTCTGCAAGCTTGCTTAAAAAACCATGATAAGGGGGCAACTAGGTGGCACAGCGGATAGAGCGCCGGCCCTGGAGTCAGGAGGACCTGAGTTCAAATCCAGCCTTGGACACATAATACTTCCTAGCTGTGTGACTCTGGGCAACTCACTTAACCCCACTGCCTCACTTTAAAAAAAAAAAAAAAAAAAAAAGTAAGGTTTAAAAAACTGTGATAAACAGGTTTCAACATGATTGGCTTTTTTGCAATCCCAAATCCTGACTTGAAACATTCAATACCAGGATTCTGAGAAGGGAAGCCCCTGCAGGTCCATTACACCAACACGGTGAAACGTGCCCGGCTGCAGGTCAGCCCGCTCTTGTCTCACCACAACCCTCCCCGATGCCAGAGATGTGAAGGGCCAGTGGAAATCCCCTCGAGGGAAGGTGGTGCCTCGAGCACCAATCATGGGGAGGAAATCCGGAATGCCATACAAAGATGGCAGAGGAACTCCCTGGGCATTTACAATTTTAGTTGCAATAACCAAGCGAGTGATGAATGAACACATTATTCTAAAAGGACTGCAGACGTGTCCCCTTTGGGTTAGTGACGCCTTCGTGAAAACAGAAAATCATGGGAATGGTGACCTCTCCAAGTGGGCGAGCCCCACCCCGGCACAGAGCAGACGCGTAGCCAGTGCTTCTTCCCCCCGTTCCCCCTCCCGGGAGGAAATCGAGGCAGCACATACCTGCCTGCAGTTCGAACCAGAAACAAGGTACTGCGGCAGCAGGGTCTGAGGGAGGACAGGGAGAAATCACCTTGTGTGTTCATCCTTCCACCCGCGTGAGAGGCTGGCGGGTCAGCTAAAAGGAGGGGACCTTCTGACGCGGGCAGGGGTGGGGGTGGGGTCCTGATCTGAGCCAACCCTAACAACACGCCCACACCACACAGCAACCCCAGAAAAGGGCTCATCACATGCACCACCACCGAGCCACACCGCGCTGGGGAGGTACCTTCGTTTTTGTCAGGTGACGAGGAACCTAAGACAAGAAGGACAACTCAGTGGGTGGCCTTTCTCCGGCCAAGAGCTCGGCCGTGCCCCCGCCTCTCCTGGCTATCACGCGGCCCGCAGGCTGGACCACGAGTGATACGTACGCTGAGACTGGGAGACCATCTTGGTCCGGCTGCGCCCCCGGGAATCCGCCTTGGAGTTGGCCACGCCCGCCACTGCCGTGGAAAGCTTGGATCTCATGCGACCTGTGGAAGGAAGTCTCCGTTATGAGGGCCCAGGGCTCCTTCTGGGGCCCTGAGAAAGGCTCACATCACCACTTTCTACGCATCTGGAAGCTGGCGGGGACTGCCTCTGAGGCGCCCCGCTAAAATCTCTACTTCTCAGATGAACTGAGGTGCACATTTGCTGCGGCTAAAACCAAACAGGACTAGGCCCTGACAAGCGGGTGCATCTGGACGCCCTCTTTGAAATGGAAGGCTGACAAACAACGCCGAAATGAGACGTCTCGCTTCCACCTCTCACGGTCACGTGCATTTTCTTCCTTACTGGGAAGGGCCCGGCTGTCCCTGGCGGTCTGACTGACGCCAGCAGGCCACCACCTTTCTCTTCCTGTAGGACAGGGCCTGGACGAGGCCAGAGACTCCCTCGCTAGCGGGCACGCCCGTGCCTGGGTTTGGGCTGTATTTGAGTGTTACGGGCCACGTTTCTGACTTGGACCAGATGTCACAAGCCCCAGGGAGAGAATGTTGGCAGGGACCGGCCAATCTCCTTTTTTCTACAGCCACTGGGAAGCCCCATTGCCCCGGCCAGAAACCAGGGCCCGGCAATCTGCGGCTGGGGGACAGAAACATGGGGTGCCCCTGGCTGGTGCAGGACACTGGGAAATTGGGAGAAAAGAAACATGTGGAACTAAGAGGTGGAGGGGAGAACATGAGAGCAAAAAGCAACAGGCCAGAGGAAAGGGCCAACTCATAGGCCGGAGGCCGACCCCGTGACCCAACACCGGCGGTCTCCAGATTCCCAGCCTGTCGATAACGTACTTGACAAGCAGGACAGGCTGGGCCCCGACCGAGTAGGAGAACTGGCAGAGATGCTGCCTAGGGACCATCAATCCAGCTCAATCCTGACATGCCCAGTGCCTGGACCAGACCAGGGGGACTCAAGCCCTTGGGGAGCGGCTGTTCCGATGCCGACTGGAGGCCCCCTCTAAACTGAACCACCTAGGGGTGCTTCTGAGCCTCAATGAGAGCATCACAGACAGCAGTCCATGGTCCCCCAAAGCAAAGGCAGGTTTACGTGAAAAATAAAAGTAAAGCGTTAAGCATTTTATTGGAAAAGCTATGATTCCATCCACCTACTTTTATACTCGATGTGGTTAAACATGTAAAACGATGCTTGAGCAGCCAATGGTTGCCTGGGATTCAAATGAAAATCACAAGCAAAGTGATGGCCCCTCCCCTGGGAAACCCCATCCCCCCATATGCACGTGCACACACACACACACACACACACACACACACACGTACCCACAAAACAAGCGGAAAAGCCAATGAGGCATTAGTATGAAACCTCTGAGAGATGGTCTTAGTTTGCTTTTAAGGTGAATGGAAACATTATGGTCAAGGGTTCTCTATGCTATCAAAGAGGAGGTGCAATTCTTACCATCTTCAGAAGCTGTCCCTAAACAGGAAAAATAAAATAACAATGACATTTCAACCAATTCTACAGTGCATGAGTTCAACACCTTTGAGAGAGATGTCATATTTGGGGAAAAAACGGACAGTCCTCCCGGGCCATTCAGGAACCGTCAGGGCCGAGAGGGGCCAGCCTCTCACTGTCCTAAGTGAGCCCGGCCATAGACAAGGAAGCCTGGCAACGGGGGACTTCCATGTCTCAGACTGCTTCGTTTCAAATGGCAACAAAAGCCAAAAAGGTTCTGGGAGCAGATGTTAACTCCGATCCCAGAAGTGGCCTCCCTTGCCAACCATAGTGAGGGGGTGGGGGTGGGCACTCACAGTGCGGTCTCCTCTCCCGCCTCCCCCTGGCCAGAGCAGGGACCCTCAGACGTGGCCGAGGACCGCCCTGGTTTCCTGGTCTTTGAGCACGGGGCTCTGACCAGCTCAGGCTCAACTCCCCAAGGTGTGACCGAGGGTGTATCATGACCCTACTACTACGACCCCGCTACAGCAGGCAAGGCAGTCTGATATTAGAAGGCCCTCGTTCAAATTAAAGGGACGTTGAGAAACCAAAGGATTCCTCACTTGGGACTAGAAAATAAAAAGGACCCTAAAAGCCAGCCAAGAGTCATCAGGGATGCATTCATGGGGGTTGTGCCACTTTCCTGAATTTCAGACTTCGAGTCAAGTTAGAAATGAGCGCAACAACCCATTTTCAAAAAAGCAGCAATGCAGCCTGGGCAGGGAGAGGCCGCCTGTCATTCCTGAACTCACAAAGCCCCTGAATTTACAGAGGACAAGCCATCGGCTGCCCAAGGCTGAGGAACCTGGGAATTCACAGAGTGGGCAGCACGGGGCTGGTGCCTCGGCCAACCTGGGCCTCCGAGGGAGGAGGACCAGACGTCCTCCAACGTCCTTCCAAGCCTGACTTCCACACCAGTCGGCCTCACTTGACCTTTCCCAAGAACACATGCTTTTTTTACATGATGTCTGACACAGGAGCGGTGGCAGGGCCAGGGCCAGCAGAGCCCAATGTGGGCAAGGAGAGATCTCTTCTCCCGACCCAGGAGGGCCAGAGGATCATCCCAGAATGGGGAGAGGCGGGGACAGAAAGCAGCAAGCACCATTTCTCTGAGTGCTCACAAAGACACGGGGCTGTTGGGTTCGAGGGTCAAACAGAAGAAAGTGCTTACCGTCCATCCTGTCTGATGTGTCCTCTTTGGCAAACAGGAAAGCAAAGGACAAAGGAGAGCTCAGTGGTTAGGGGGAAGGCATGAGATGCCCATCAGACCTTTTCCTCCCAGATGCCTCTCCTGCACTGGTCGGGGTTAAGGCCTGCAGACCTACTGGGCGAAGAACCTCTGGACCTGCAGCAAGGCTGCAGACAGCAGCAGCAGAGGAGCGTCTGGGAGGGGATGGGAACAAGTCCTGCGACGCTCACATGCTCTCTGTCTCTGTGGGTCTCTCCCTGTCTCTGTGTCTCTCTCTCTCTCTGTGTCTCTCCCTGTCCCTGTGTATCTCTGCCTCTGCATGTCTCTCCCTGTGTGTCTCTTTGTCTCTGTGTATCTGTCTCTGTGTCTCTTTCTCTATCTCTGTGTCTCTGCCTGTCTCTGTCTCTATCTCTGTGTCTCTGTGTTTGTCTCTATATCTCTCTCTCTGTGTCTCTCTCCCCGTCTCTGTGTGTGTGTGTGTGTGTCTCTCTCTCTCTGTGTCTCTAAGGCCTCAGGGGCTTCTTCCCCATCTTCTATTCTAAGCCCCTTCCCCTTGGCCTGGGGCTGATGCGCACCGGTGGAACATCAACGTCTTCTCCAAGATGGCGCTCTCTATCCAGGAGGTCTGCAAACCTTAAGCCCATGGCCTCTAACTTTGAGAAGAAAGGACTTTTCCCGGTTTACAACGGCACACTACGTAAAATTCCAAGGTAGAACAGTTCAAATGAACAAATTTGAGGGAGGAAAATTGTTTTTAAGTTACCTGTGGTTTAGCGGCGAGTTCATTGTGAACAAATGAAATTGACAACACATGCCCCTCGTTAGCCATCACAACTGCACTCACGCGTGCACGCACGTGAACACACATCAACATGGGAGGTCCCATCGCTCAACAGACTCTCCCAAGGAGGGGACTCCCTGACAGGCGAGGAAAGGGAAGCCGAGCGGTGTCGGCCAAAGGAGGAGAGCAGGGACGAGGTCTCCGCAACAGGGCTGGGGGCCTGGGACGAGCGGGCCTGTGAGCTCCAGAAAAAGGAAACTGGACAAGTACAGAAAAAGTCAGAAAATGGAGGGACTGTCTGAGTGCTGAGCATGTTGTGTGTTCCTGAAGCTCCAGCTCTGGAAATGCTCCTGCCATGAAACGCTTCTGACTCTCACCCCCAGTTTGCGCCGGCGGCAGCGGCGGACACCATCTTGGCTTCGGAGCCCAAGGGCAGCGAAGGAGGCAGTGGGGGCCAAGAGTAGGGACTTCATAACCAAACTAGCTCCTTGTGCCTCCCTGATACAGACAAACATAAACTAGATGCTGAAGACAAAGCCTGGGGACGAATGACCGGAGTGGGCTTTGTAAAACCCAACCCAACCCAACACACTCGCTCACACTCGCTCTCTCTCTCACCTAGAGAAGCGTAAGACCCAGGAGTGAGGGTACCAGGGCCAAGGCGCCCGCTGCCGCCGCCACCCGCCTGCCCAGCAACATGGCGGGCCTTGGCCCCTGCAGCAGTATTCACATCGATGTCACTGTGGGACCGCTGAAGACTTCCAGGACTGCCCGTCGTTTTACCGCTACTGGAAGACACTGGTGGAAAAAGAACAAAGCCGTGCGATAACTGGCAGGGGAAGTGGGGAGTGCACATTAAACCCACCTCCAATCAGCAACGAAAATGGAGATGGTGCACTGGCCAAGATGAAGCCCATCCTGCGCCACTCCCACGCCACGTGGTCTCACCTCTCCCAGGGCCGGCCGAGGCGCTCCCCGCAGACCATTTGGAGGAGAATGGGCGGCTGAAAGAGAGAAAGCGCGTCTGTCACTCACGGGCAGGAAGATGCCAGGCTCTCCCCCAGGACAGATGCACTCACAGAGATAACTTTGCAAAAGCGCAGTGTAAGCGGGTCCGACATAACATAAGCGGGATCTGGGATTCTCTGGCAAGGAGCCCCCAAACTCTGGTTAGGACTCCAAGAGAGACAGGCCCTTCCCTCGAGATCTCCCATGCACAGATGCCAGATGGGTGCTTATGAGGCTCAAAGGGCGGCTTCCATGCTGCTCAGCTCCCACGGGGGCAGCTTTGGGGAGGGGGCACGCAGAGGCCCTGCCCCTCCCCCTCACCCCTGGCATGGGCGTGGCTACCACATGGGCTTGCTCCTTCTCCATGAGCCCCCTTCATCAGGAGGGATGCACCTCGTCATGGAGGCATGAGCCCTGATTCAACCTTGGCATCTCACCCTGATCCCGGCACCTTCCTCCCCCTGCTGCCCATGCCTTAGGACCCCCTAAACCTCTTCCATCCCGCCTTCCCTACCAAACTTCCGGAAGAGGGCCGTCTACACCTGCTGGTGCCCCCCAGAGACCCAGAGAGCGAGTCAGGGGATGAGAGGAATGAGGGCTTCTAGAAGAAGGACGACAAGCGCCAATGAAGGGCCTGGGGGGATGTCCTGCACCTACTGACCAGAGCAGCCAGGGCCCAGGGGCTGTGTTCCTGAGCCATACTGCGTGACCCCTGCACACCAGGGAGCCCCTTGGTGGGCTCAAGCTGTGGCAGACTGCCTTGTCGGACCCCATGCGCAGTGCCTAGTGCCCCCCTGCAAAGCACCCCATGGTCCTAGCATACAGTGCCCACAGCGCCTGGGCTCCCCCCACCACAGCACCCACGGCCCCCACACACAGCACCTAGGGCCCCCGTTCCCCACACAGTGCCCACAGCGCCTGGGGCCCCCACATGCAGCGGCCCATAGCACCCAGCGGCCCCCTCCCCCAGCACAGTGCCTGGGCTCCCACCCCCACCCCCTGAGCACAGCACCCGCAGTGCCAGGCTCACTTGCCCAGCTCGCCTCCCACACTCACTTGAGGCTCTCCTGGGAGCTGGAGGACGATCGGTCTGAGGGAGGGAGGGACGCGGCGCTGCCCGAGTTCTTGAGGTACGTCTGGAGGCTGCGCTGATAGGAAGGTTCCAGGGAATTATACAAGGTCTCAGCTTCGCCAGGAAAGTGGTTTCTGAGGCCCATGTACGTCCTGGGAGGACCGAGAGCACAACGGTCACTGGGAGGGCTGCACCTCCCCCAAAACTTCCCAGTTCAAGGCTCTATTTGAAAGAGAGGAGAGCCTGGAAACTGGCAGGCCGCCCCCTCCCCAAGTAGAGGCATCGATCGGCAGACAAGGAAAAGGAAGCCGTGATGCGGAACCATTTCCCGTTCTCCACCCAAGGCACCCGGGCAGCCCCTCCTGGGGGGCACACAGAGACCACGGGACGGAGCAGAAAAGGACCAGGGTTGGACACGTTCAGACACAGGACAAGAGACCCCAGACCCCAGGGGCACGAGGCGGGGTCCCCAGCCAAGAACAAGAAAACCTCACTTTCTGGCCTCTACTCTGGCCTCGGCGTCCGCATCATGAATCCCCTTCTTAATTGTCTCAACCAACACGGCCGCGTGTCTGAAAGACAAACAGCCCTCGGGGCTCAGAGGGACATCATACTGTGCGTGCGCCACGGCCCCACTGGGTGACCCCTCACGTTAGGGACCCCCGGCCCCAAAGTAAAAAGCGAGGGGGCCTCGTCATGGCCCGAGGGACTGGCCACATGTTAATGGGAATGGCCCCTGCATGGAGGAGCTTTGGCCACCAAGCCCAGAGCATGATGCCTGGTTCTGGACATCACTAGCTGTGGGGCCCTGGGCAGGCCGCCTCACCGCTACCTGCTTCAGTTTCCCCAACTGTAGAAAGAGCCCCATGAGATATTTATAAAAGCGCTCAGTGTGGCACCAGCTCCCAGATGGATGGGGCAGACGAGACGCACAACAAATAAGACACAGACCGGGGAGCGGGACGGTTGTCTCCCAGGGGGGTCCTGACCTGGGAACAGAAGGGGGCAGGGAGAGTGGGCCGGCGTGGATTTGGGGGAGGGAGCGCCGAGGGAAACCCCACGGCGCCCACCGCTCTGGGGGCTTCTCGCCCTCCTCACTCTGATTCATGTGAAGGGGAGGAGGAGAGTGAACCACCCCCGAGTACCATCACCCCCCCGACCCTGAGGCAGAGCGGGGGCTGCCCCACATACCTTTCCAAGGAATGGGTCTGCCACTCTTGCAAGAGGAGGTCCAAAAACTCAAAGGAACGCCTGGAAAGGAGAGGACCCAGAGGCGTGAATACAAATGGGCTGGCCCAGAGAAGGCCGGTAGTGTGCATGTGTGCAGGGTGTGTGTGTGTGCCCACATGGGTGGGTGTGTGCGCACTGTGCATGTGTATGTGCACGTGTGTACACATGTGTGAGTGTGTGTGTGCACCGTGCGGGTGTATGTGCGCACGTGTGGGTGTGTGCAACATGTACGGGTGTTTGCGTGCACTTGTGGGTGAGTGTGCACCGAGCGGGTACATGCATGCACGGGGATGTGGCTGTGGGCTCCCATTCTACCAAGGACACGCTCTGGCAGGGCCAGAGGAGGATGGAGCTGCTCCCCTCCCCCCTCGCCTCCCCGCCAGCCTCAAAGGCCCCTCCGCGCACTCACCTCCTCACCGCCACAGACTTGGAGGAACAGTTGCTGGTTATCAGCGGGATGAGCCGCGGCACATGCGTGTGCTGAAACACAGAAATGGTGCCTCAACACGTGTGGGCACGGGATCAGGCCCGGTAAGTGGCGCAGTCAGTCCTGCCGACCACCTCTCCCCGCCCGCGCCAGCGGCCCGGCATGCTGCTATGGTTACTGTTCAGTCATTTCAGTCATGTCTGACTCCCCCTGACCACTTCCGGGGTTTTCTAGACAGATACTGCACTGGCATGCCATTTCCTTCTGCAGCTCATTTGACAGAGAAGGAAACTGAGGAAGGCAAGGTGAAGTGACTTGCCCAGGGTCACACAGCTAGTTAGTGTCAGAGGCTGGATTTGAACTCAGGAAGAGGAGTCTTCCTGACTCCAGGTCTGGCGCACAGTAGGTGCTTAACGTTTCCTGCCTGGATGTAACTGGTGTGGCCAGGGGCCAAGGCAAGGAGGGAGGTGCTGGCACTGCCAGCGCGGGCACATGCTGGGCACAGAACAAGCGGGCAGGGAGGAAGGGAAGGAGGAAGAGGAGAGGAGAGGCGCCTGCTGAGTCCCAAGGCCTGCCACGGGTCTGTGGCGAGCTGTCCCTCCTCGTCAGCCCCTCCTCCCGGCTCTCCCCGCGCAACCTGCCTGCCCTGCCCCGAGCATGGGCAAAAAGCGCGTACCCGGATGATGAAACGGATAGCCGCGCAGCCAGACGTGGCCATGACCTTAGCGCTGTTGGGGACCAGGTTAAAAAGGGTAGGCACGATGGCTTCGGCGCCATGGTCAAACTTGTTGCCCAAGACCGTGGAGAGATGCCTGCGGCGAGAGGAGAAAAGTGGGACGTGTGCAGTCAGGACGCGGGTGTGCCCACACATGGAGAGAAATGCTGGGAGAGTGTCTCTGGGCAGGGCTGACGGTTTCCATGAGCACTTAGTGAGCGCTGACTGTGTGCTGCCCCCTCCCCCAGGAACACGCCAAGCCCCTCCAGCACCTGTCATTTTCCCCTTGGCCACCTTTGCTGACTGCTTTATGCTGTGTTTCTCGAGTGGTCGCAGCGACCGGGGGCACCCCGACTTCTCCCCCGGGGAGACCGCCCGCCAAAATGCTTGGAGAATCTGCCAGCTGAGGCCCGCTCCGGCCCCACTGCACCTATCTGGACTTTTGACAGCCCACGGTAGCTTGTGGGCTGGAGAGGTAACTTCATGACCTATGACCTACATCCAGGCACATCGCAGCAATGACATGAAAACAGACCGAGGCAAACAGAGGTGAGCTGGGGGGCGAGTGGCACAGGGAGGGGCCAGGGGCTCTTCTAAAATAAGCGAATATATCTTTGAGGCACCCACTGTGCGCCAGGCCACGGTCCCGAGGCCACCAGGGGCAGCAGGGTGCCCCTTCCCTACAGCGGCACCCGCGGAGGCAGAGGGCCAAAGGATGCCCAGTAGCCCAGGCCAAAGGGAGCGTACATATCACAGTGCCCGGCCAACGCGACATGAGGCTGGAGGGAACACCACGGGGCACGGAGGGCAGGGCCTGGAGGGCAGGGGGAAGATGCAGTGGGGCTCCCTCTCACACTCCCTGTGTGCCCCCAAGAGGACGCAGACGGGTGACCACCGGGAGCTGATGGCTGGCCCCAGTCTGGAGTCGGAAGCCCAGGAGCAATGACAGGGCCGGGGGGAGGGGCTGGGGGCTGACACTCACGCCACAGTGATGCAGGCCTCGCGTACCACCTGGGACCGCAGATCCTTGGCGGAAAGCTTCAGGGCGCCGTCCAACAGGCGCAAATGCTGGAAGAAGCAGTCGTACTGGGCCGCACCAGCCAGCAACAGGGACCTGACTTTCTTGAGCTGCAATGGAAAGAGGAACATGAAAGCAGAGCCCCTTGGCACGGCCTGGATGAGAGGACCACGGCACCCCCAACCCCACCCCCATCCCCAGAGAGAAACCCTGGCCGGGTGCGGAATTGCATGGTCTGCTGGCGGGGCCAGCCAGCCGCCCCGAGGAAAAGCTCACTGCGCAGACCGCAGACTGTTGCACTGGAGCGCCATGGGCGCTGTTTGGACTCCCCTCAGTGCTGTCTCCCCTGCAGCCTGCAGAAGGAAGGGAGCCACAACCAGGGCCCAGGACCCTCTCACCGGCAAAGGCTGACCAAAGCAGGGCTGCCTGACCGCCATGGCTGGGCGGGCGGACAGGGAGAAAGCAGCGAGTCCTGAGAAAAGCAGAGAACAACAGCAGAATTCACGGTGTTTAAACAGCAGCAATGCCCACGTTCTGCTTGATAACCTGCCAATACCACGGCGTCTTCTCTGGATGAGGGCTCACGGCGCCCACTGCGCCTTCAGGGGAGGGCTCGCCAGCGCCTTCAGGGGAGGACTCATTGGGTGCCCGCCTCCGCCTCTCTTCCGGGCGTGAAATGGGCTTTCTCAATACGGATCCCCTAAATGTTTCTCTAAGTTATCACCTACTGTCTTGAATGGTTAAATTCCAAAAGCTGAAAGCGCCGGCGCCATGATTTCAGCCATGTGCTTGATGTGCATGATGCAGCCTAGTGCTGGAAGTCACGGTCTCCACTTGGGGATATTCGCCTTCTATCTTCAGGCTCACAGGAGTGGTTGATATTGAGGCTGGCCACTTATGAACGAGGGGATTCTGTCTTCAAGAGGATGCACCATCTGGGGACCATTTCCTCTGCCCTGGACACAGGCAACTGCCCAGCATCTGTGGGCAGCGCCTCTCAACATGGGACTGGAACCAGATTAAAATCCAATTGGAAAATGTTTAACAAACTAAAGGAAGTGTGGTCCCCCAGCGCCCAGGCCCTCTCCAGTCCAGGCTCCACGTCGGGCCCTGCTGTGGCGCTACCCTGCTCTGTGGCTGCCCCCCCCAGCGCCCCGAACCTTCCCCAGCTGTCTCCCCCATTAGAGGGGGAGCCCCTAGAGAGTAGGGCCTGGGTTTTCCAGAACGCTCCCCATCTATTCCTTCTCTACTTATTTCTAAGAATCAGACACCCAGAGTCCAAGCGTCCCGTCTCTGCTGCCAGTTCTCATTCCACTTGCCACCCCCTTGTACGTTCTCAACTCTTCCACTGGCTGTCTCCACGCGTGTTTTCCAGGTCATCCCCAGGACTCCTTCACCTGTTTTGGCATCTTCTGTTACTAGCTTGAACACATACATTCCTCAGAGGCCTTCCCTTTCAGATGAGGAGATGGAGGCCCAGGAAGGGAGCCCCCCCCAGCCTCGGCCTCCACTGCAATCTCTGGATGGTCGGGGCAAGATGCCAGCATGGAGCCGGTGGGCTCCGGCCTGCGGTCTGTGGAGGCCGGGACTTCTGCCCAGTCGCTTTGCTTCCACTGATGAGGCCGGTCTGGAGTGGGTGAGAGGAGACCCAGGCCCAGGGCATCCCAGGGATAAGGCTGAGCGAGGCCCATCTCCTCCGGCAAAATCACCCAAGGAGCGATGACATGTACTCACTGACTCTGATAAGCGTGCCGACCAGGGAGGCGAGCCGTGGCGGCCCGTGTCCCCTACCGTTTCCACATAAAACAACAGGAAAAGCGAGCGCCCGAGGAAGGCAAAATAAAAGAGGCGGAGGCTGACAGAACACTTACCGCATTTGCGCGCTGGTCCCAATCATGCTTGTCGTCAGATAAAATTTCCCTGATTTTATTCAACGTTTCTTCAAGTTCACGACTAGAATATATCTAAAAATAAGAACCACAGTGACAACTATTCAGGCGTCTGTCCTAACAGAAGTCAGCATCGCTGGGGGGTTTCCTGGCCTTCGCTGCAATCGCCCCCTGGTCACCGAGTCCCCAGCCGGCCATCCCACTGCACTCTGGACACTCACACCCCACCCCCACTCGCCACGCTCTCTTCATGGGCCTGTGGTCACCTTCCATTCAAAAGGAAGCTCTTGGGGGCAGGGACGGTCTTTTCTGGCATTTCTAGGCTGAGTACATAGTTGCATACCAAGAATCAATAAATGCTCAATACAGGTATCACCAAAGTACAGGAAATGTGGGATGGCATCTTTGTCATCACCAGAGACACTGTCTCAAGAGGTCAGCTTTGTAAAGTGCGCATGAGCATAGCGCCTGGCACACAGTAGGGGCTTAATGCTCCCCCCCTCTCTTCTTCCCTCTTCTGCTCCCTCCCTCCTTTCCTTCTTCCCTCCCTCTTTCCTTCCTCCCTCCCTCTTTCCTTCCTCCTTCCCTCTCCTCCCTCTTCCCTTCCTTCCTTCTCAGCTCTGGTGAGCAGGGACTGTCTTACACTTTCTGATGCAAGCTCCCAACACTTAGCACAGTGTTTCTGATGCAGGAAGGGCTTAATAAATGCTTTATTCATTCATTCTTGGAAGAAGACTGCATTATTTTTCAAACAAAAGGGAAGCATTTTCTAGAGTTTCAGAAAAAAAAAGGGGGGAGGGCAGTTTTTCCACTCAAAAAGAGTCAAGCTTTGCTCAATCTTAAGCAAACCATGTCTACAGAAAATTCTTTGAGTTGTTCCTCCAGAGAACCCACCACTAGGTAAAGCTGTGGAAACAAAATGCATTTGCAAGAAAGTTCCAAAGAAGGTCTCCATGAGATTTCAGAATCCCTACCCAGGACAACACATCAGATTTTAAAGCATATAAAACATTCATGAATGCCAGTTAAAATTTTATGTCTCACCAGCCCTCAGCAGCATAGTCTCCAGCACACAGTAAGTGCTTAATAAAGGCTTGCTAACTACTGCCCCTCAACTGTAGAGTTTGCTGGGGTGAGAAAGGAGTAAGGAAATGGAGGTTACAGGGAGCACCTGGGGTTCTGTGAATGGGGAGACTGATGCGTGCCACAGTCTGACTGCCTAGAGGAGGAGGATGCACCCAAGTGGGCAGAGACCCACCGGCAGCTGCCCCCCAGGGACTAGAGAGAAAGGGACACCTTCAAGAGAGATTGTGAGGGTAGAAATCACAAGACCTGCATCGTGCCAGGCATCATGGGAAGCACAATGTCCCTGCCTTTCAGGAGCCTGCCATGGATCAGGCTGACAACTTACACGAGACAGCTGGGAACTGTTGCAGGGGCATGGCGGTGGCAAAGCCCAAATGGAGGTACTCCAATCTGAGGGAATGGCCCTGGCATGGGGAGACTGAGGAGGCCTGGGCTCCCGGCCACGTGACAAGCGCAGGATCCGAGGGGCAGGCCAGTAAAAAATGAAGATGAGATGTAGGTGAGCAGAGCGAGCGAGAAGCTGAGGACGGCTCTGATGGCGGGATACCGGGGAGCCAAAAAGAAGCGAGGGGTCTGGGGGAAGGGCACGGTGAGCTTGGGATGCCTCCAGGCAGCTGACTGTTGATGTCCAAGGTGAAGGTGCAAGGCAGGGGGTTGGGCCCAACAATGTCAGTGCTGGGAATGGATGACACCACAGATCCCAGAGCAGACGGGGAGAGATGGGACAGCCCCGCCGTAGCGGGCACAACAAAGTCAGAGAGGACGCTGAGCAGACTCGGCGAGGAAGAAAGGTCAGACAGGCTCTCCATGTCGCTGTCAACAGGACACCCCAGAGTCTTGTCCTACACAGGAGAGGCCTTTGCCTTTCTCCCACCCCGTGGGACAGCGGGTCTGGCGTCTCCATTCTAATGCACACGACACCTAGAGCATTCTGTATCGATAACAACAGGACAAGGGACGAGAAAGGGTTCCATGAGGCACGTGCCTTGTCTGCAAGGGTGGAGGATGCAGGGAGGTCACTGCCTTCGTTCCCTGTCCAGGGTGCATCCCCCAACCGTGTCAAAAACGCACACGATCCCTGCAAAGATGCAGCAGCAGGACGAGCTGAGATAACAACCAAGTTCTTGTGAAGGCACACGCTCCCTGTGAGTGGGCGCGAGTTCAGTGGAGGCCACGCCACAGACCCCTTTGGCGACGCAGCAGAAACCGAAGGCTGCCTTCTGGGAGGGATGCTTTAAAGCGATAAGATGTAATATAGACCATTTCAAAGGAAGCCAATTAGAGTGAAATACAGTTATCAAAATATTTCAAAATAACATTTCATCTTTTTTGCTAATTACGTGTAAAAACAATTAACATAATTGTTTAAAATTTTGAGTTCCAAATTCTCTCCCTCCTTGAGACAGTATGCAATTCGCCCAAAGTTATACTTGTGCAATCACGCAAAACATATTTTCACATTTGTCAAGTTGTGAAAAAGACAGACTGAAAAAAAAAAGCATGAAAAAAGGATCAAGTGAAAAAAAGTCTGCTTCCATCAGCATTCAGACTCCACCGGTGCTTTCTCTGGAGATGGAGAGCATTTTTCATCCTAAGTCCTTCAGAACCGTCTTGGATCACTGTGTCACTGAGGACAGCTAAGTCATTTGCGTCTGATCACTGTAGAATATCGCTGTTACTGCGCACAATGCTGTCCTGGTCCTGCTCGCTTCACTCTTCATCGATTCACCTAAGTTGTTCCAGGGTTTTCTGAAATCCACCTGCTCGTCATTTCTTCTAACACAACAGTATTCCATTACATTCACACACCACAACTTGTTCAGCGACTCCCCAATTGTTCCAATTCTTTGTCACCACAAAAAGAGTTGCTATAAATATTTTGGCATAAATAGGTACTTTTTTCTTTAAAAAAAAATCTCTTTGTGAGACAGACCTACTAGTGGTATTGCTGGGTCAAAGGGTATGCAGTGTGATATCCCTTTGGGCACAGTTCCAAACTGCTTTCCACAATGGCAGGATTGGTTCACAACTTCACCAACAGTACATCAGTGTCCCAATTTTCCCACATCTCCAACATTTATCATTTTCCCTTGCTGTCATGTTAGCCAATCTGATAAGCGTGAGGGGGTACCTCTAAGTTGTTTAAATTTGCGTTTTTCTCATCAACAGTGATTTAAAGCATTTTCTGTATGACTATAGATAGCTTTGATTTCTTTGTCCAAAAACTGCCTGTTTATATTCTTTGACTATCAATTGGGGAATGACTTGTATTCTTCTATTATTTTGGCAATGGGGCCTTTGTTAAAGACACTTGCTGTAAAAATTGTTACCCAACTTTGTTTTCCTTCTAATTTTGGGTGCATTTGTTTTATTAGTGAAAACCCTTTTTAATTTAATACAATCAAAGTTATCCATTTTACCTCTCATAATGCTGTCTCTTGTTTGGTCATAAACTCTTCCCATCTCCATAGATCTAACAGGTAAACTATTCCATGCTCTCCTAATCTGCTTATGGTATCAGCCTTTATGTCTAAATCATGTACCCATTTTGACCTTATCTTGGCATATGGTATAAGATGTTGGTCTACACCTAAATTCTGCTATACCGTTCTCCAGTTTTCCCAGCAGTTTTCGTCAAATAGTGAGTTCTTGTCCCAAAAGCTGGGATCTTTGGGTTTATCAAACATCAGATTACTATGATCATTTATTTACTACTGTGTCTTGTGTACCTAATCAGTTCCACTGATCGACCACTCTATTTCTTAGCCAGTACCAGACTGCTTTGATGATTACCGCTTTATAATACAGTCTGGTTTGGCTAGGTTACCTTCCTTCACTTTTTCCCCCCATTAATTCCCCTGATATTCTTCACCTTTTGCTCTTACAAATCAATTGTATTATTTTTTTCTACATCTATCAAATAATTTTTTGATAGTCTGATTGGGATGGCATTGAATAAGTAAATTAGTTCAGATAGAATTGTCGTTTTTATTATATTGGCTCAGACTACCCCTGAGCAATTGATAGTTTTTTAACCGTTTAGATCTGACTTTATGTATGAAAAGTATTTTGTAACTGTTCATACATAGTTCCTGGGTTTATTTTGGCAAGTATTTTATATTAGCTACAGTTATTTTAAATGGAATTTCTTTCTATCTCTTACTGCTGGACTTTGTTGGTAAAATATAGAAATGCAGATGATTTGTGTGGGTCTATTTTATATTATTTCATTTTTATTTATATTATTTCAACTAGTTTTTTAGTTGATTGTCTATGTATACCATCATATTATCTGCAGTGATGATTTTGTTTCCTCATTGTCTAATTTTTTTTCATTTCCTTTTTCTTCTCTTACTATTGCTAGCATTTCTAGTACAATATTGAATAATAGTGGTGATAATGGGCAACTCTGCTTCACCCCTTAACTTCTTGCTTATCCTCATTACAGATAATATTTGCTGATGGTTTGAGATATGCGCTACTTATCATTTTAAGGAAAGCTCCCTTTATTCTTATGTTCTCTGGTGTTTTGTAATTTTATTTTACACTTAAATACAAAACGAGAAAAGAAAAAAAATTGTCTTGTACCCAGCAGACCATAAGAGAGGATTCAATACAAAACAATAAATTTCCATTTCAAGAAAACCTATAGAACAAATCCTATGTGTTGTTTTCAAAGCTGCCCAGCTTTCCTTTGCTTCCACGCTGGTTTTCATTTGCTCTCTGCTACGCATGTTTTACTTTATTTCCCCCTCCCCCCACCCTAAGGAAGGCTATGATCCAGCATGGACATATAAGCATATACATAGCTACCTATAAACAGACATTACATACACACACACACATACACGTGTGTGTGACTACACTCTGCTTACTCCCTCCTATCATCTGTTTCTCTTGAGTGGCTGGCATTGTCCTTCACGAGCCCAAGTCTTTCTGTGTTTTCCTACATTGGCCTGCTCGTCATTTCCTTTGCCACAGCAGGACTC